TAAGTGTGTAGAGCCCTTCGACAGTATCAGCTTCCCGATCCTGTACGAATTTCCAATGCTATTTTCACGCTACTTAATTTGTTTAAGTAAAAATATTTATAATTGTATTCAAGTATAATGGAATGCCTGGTAAATTTTTCGCTAAAGAAACTGACCACCTTGGCATCCTTTATAACTTTTTTGTTTGACCTCCTCCTCTTGCCAAAGGCGAGAACAAAAGTGGTCCAAAATCCAACATAATGAATTACTTTTTTCATTGACATTCTAGGCCCTGTGCCTTGAGCCTTCATCCCACTTGTTCACCCACACGGGATACGCTACTTATTTTCCTTAAGTAAAACGTTGTGGACAATACATCCACAATAAATAATCTAACCCTAATGGGTTGCCCTTACGCCTCAAATGACTCATTCCTTCAATGTTTACAATGGAAAAATTTTTCTGGTGCCCCGATTTTATTAACATTGGCTGTACTAATTGTTTCAGGCAAGCTTTGTTATCCCTTTTAATCACCACTATAAATTGGTTGAAAACGGAATTCTGGCAGGTCGCGATTGGCAATGAATTGATACCCCATTCCCTCCGGTAAAATCGTCAAGGTCGTGTTGAAGTTCTGCTTAGCATAGTGTTTTGGATTAAAGTAAATAACGATAAACTGATCCACTTAAACATTATGGTATTAATTCCTAAAAATTCTCCCAATTCATTGATAGAACTTTCGAATAATTTGTTTCTTTCGTTTCCAAGTTTGGAAACATAGCATTCACCTACCACTTTACCTTGTCGTTTTCTTCGCGAAATTCCTTTCTTAGCTCAGAAAGTGGCATCTGAATTTGAACATACTTTGTATGGAGAAACATCTCATCCCTTTAGTCTTACTTTCAACTGCGCTTCCTTCGCCTTCCTTTAGGCCGAAGCTTCGAAGCTGATACCTCCTAAACTTGGTTAAAATCACTTTTTAATGACAAAGTGTGAAAACTTTTAAGCAAAATGTCTCTTCTTACAATAATAAATCCCTGAATTTGATAGGTACCTCAAGAGACTGAATTTTATTGCTTTTACAATTTTCCCTCAGCCACCATAATGTCGGTGATGAATCACCGCTTAGCCCCTTTGTTCAGCGACCTTCGACTTTGAGGCTGGCCATGATTACCATCCCCCATTGGTTTAGTCGATTTCACAAATCGCCTATTTTGACCAACTATAGAGACATTCCATTTGATTAAAATGAAATGAGCATTTACAAATTCGGTCACAAAAGTTCAATCGGGTTGTCACCTTATCAGGTAAATGCAGATTTATTTATGAGTGAGGCTTTTTTTGTAGGACAGATTCAAAAACAGTAATGCTAACCTCTTGACAAGAATTATGCACTTGACAACGTATGCCACTTCGTCTGGTTCTCTACAGATTAACTGGGAGGTGAGGCTTTCCAACAGTAATTTGTTGTGCACTACAAATGGGCTCATGTTCCCTTTGAGCACCGTCTTAAGCCCTTCTTAAAGTCCACAACATTGCGAATGTCTCAAAGTCAGCCTATAAATCAGGAACTCCAAACGTCACATTTCCGTAGTATTGATAGGGCATTTCTCCAAATGATCTCGCTCTATTTAAATGAGAGCTATAGTGCTGAAAGGAATGCGGGTCCCAAAGCGGAGCCAAGAAGTTTTCAGGAATCTAAAATACACTATCGAATTCTCCCTGTCTATCACTGCACCTGGTATAATATTTGTAAAGAAGGCGAAAAATGTGTTTTTTAACATTAAACGTGGTCCTATTCTCCCATTTAAGAGGCTTCCACATCCTTTGCTATCTCACTTTCGACGCCTTATGAACTAACAAAAAGGGACATTTGGCTAATGGAGATCGACATCTATAGGGTTTCCCTTTGAATGAAGGAACAAATCCATGACCCAAAAGCAAATTGATCATGCATACGACAGCCCGGTGTTCATGCTTATTCTGGGATTTTGAGGGTTATCTACGCAACAACCCTCATCTGCTCCTCATTTCCCTTCAATTTATTCGTACCTTCCTCGGCTAAATACGAATTTGGTACCTTTAAGAATTACTTTTTTACCCTGTCTCACAGGTGAATTTTATATCGATTCTGGCTATTCACTTGGCTGAATAGTCTCAAAAGTGTATGACCTTTATTTGACCTATCTACTTAGTGAACGAGAAATTGGAAATGACTGCTAGTAAACCCCGAATGCTTTATGTCCAAAAGTGTGCACCAAGTGAATTAGGTAGCGGCCTCTAAAAAGTTTTCTTAATGGTAACTTCGTAATGCAATGGAGGATATTCGGCCACCACTTTGGCTTTTCGCATTTGTTGCATTCAGTTTGAACAGTGACTTAAGAAAAGAAACTCTTTAGTGGGAAGGAAATTTTGGTGAATCCTACGTGTAGTGAAGGTTTCGCATAAACGCAACAGGCGACCTTGAGCTTGACCAATGATAGTTGAGCGCCGGTCTCCCTCTATTGGTTTCGCGCTCTCCTGTGTATGTGCTCACCCGTTATGAGGCAGTGCCAAGGGGTAGTGAGAGCGAGCAAGCTAAAGAGGGTTACGCATGCAACCGGAGCAAAGGCGAGAAGAGAAATGGGAATGGGCTGATTGGAATGAAGTTGGCAGCCAATGATATTTTTCCTTCCAAAATTCCGATGACCCATAGAAGCACCTCTTAAATGGCTAAGTAGGAAATACGCACACGTAAATGCGTCTGGATTTTTACATACTATTGCATAACGCGCAAGCTGTGGATGAATAGTTTTGTGAGTGGGGAATCGTGTTGTGGAATGTACTCACTTTCTGTCCTATTGTAGGGATGTGCCCTTCCGACTTGCAAATGAGTTGGTTTGTAAGTGAGGTGAGGTTAAGGATAATTCCACTTTTAGTTAACTTAAACTCCGAATTCCTGAAATACGGGACGAAATGGATCACACGTTAGCTCTCTTGGCGTCTATTTACTTTACTTGACTTAAAGTCACCAATTTGAACTAATTGGCATTTCTGGGAAAACTACAAATCACTCTACTGGTTACTTGTTGTAGTTAGTTATTTTGCATGAGATGGCGATTAAGTTAGGTTATCTACTCAATCTTATTACAATGCAATGTTCAGTCAGTTGAAGTACAGACTGACAATCTTAGAGTTCCCTTCCATAAAATGAAGGAGGTATTTTTTAAATTCCTAAATATCCATTATGCCTACGATTTCATCGAATTCCATAAATGGGTTTTCACTAAAACATTTGGCACTTCAACATTTCCTTTTTGACCAATCAACACTGTCCACTCGGTTATATAGTTGGGGGTGGCAATCTCGTCTTACTTTACCATGGCAACTGGGATTTGTGGTTGTGTAAATGCGTGATGAGAATCTCCCCTTCCGGTGGTTAAACTTTTCATTACTTCATTCTCTTTTGAAATGGTTCGGTCCTTTTGAATCCCGAAAGATGTCGCATGACGTAGGGTTGAATACCATCACCTGCTGCCTCGAATGGGAAGCAAAGGTGAAAACCAAATAGAATTTTGTGGCAAGGTTTTATCTCAGAGAGGGTTTAAAAAGGCTTATTTTACTTTGTAAACTTCTAGGCATGCATCAAAATAACTGGGCGATGCGCACCGTAAACCTTGGACAGATGAGATAAGGAGATGATAATTGTGGACATCCACTAGTTTTATTCACTTGTTTCGGATTTTAAGCAACTGTTAAAAAAGCTATTTCGCTATATAAAAGCCGTTGAATTCTCGATTCTTAAAATTTTAGATTTCATTTTTTTGTGCATGCTTGGGATGATTGCTCAAACTCATATAACCTTACAGGTAATTCAGGAATGTACAAAAGGGATTTATTATTTAGTTATGTAATAAAACGTTAACTGATTTTCATTTGTGCATGTTACGGTTTGAACCCTCCCAAAGTCCGAATAAATGTTCGATTTTTTACATGGCGCGTGAAATAACGTGCTGATGAAGTTGTAGCAAGGCTTGAAGGATGGAGGAGCTTGATTCTGTAAACGTACATTCAAGCGAGTGTCGGTGCACCACAAGCCTTTACGCTAACCCTTCGTGATTGTGGTTTTTCTCCGCCCGAAAATGGCCAGTCATTGTACAACACGATGGAGAAAATAATGATTCAGCATATTTCTGGTCTCGCACCGTCTGATAGACCACCCCTTTCAGTAAAGTAATCGTTCCATGCATGCTAAACGCAAGAATTAGTCCTAGCACTGATACCATCCGTCTTTATTTCTTCTCCTCACTGTATTCACATGAACGCACTTAAACGAATGGCGATTTCATTGCCGTTGTTTTTAATGCTCGGTATCATGCGTTGAGACCTCTGTGACTGAACAAAATCTGAGTCCGTCTCGTCTACACCTGTCATTAATGGGGGGAAGTGGAGGTGCCCTTTTGTTTTCAAAAGCTAAGTTTCTAAACAACAAATAGGTAATTAGTTCACTGGTTGCTATTACCATTATGTTCCAGCGAGCCTTCCATAAAGCCTAAAGAAAGCAAGGTCACTAAAATAAAGCCTTGTTTCCCCAGTTTACCACTTGTCAAAGATGCCACCAAGAAATCGATTGGTTTTAGGGAATAGCGATCAGAAAACTCGTTTAAGATGAAATCCAAATTTAAAATGACGACATTTACTTTTGATAGTTGTCAATTGCTCAAATTTCGTTAACTTCGAGTACCCGAACACTGTGCCTGACGTTTCATGCACGAATGGGATCTGTAACGTCCTCGTTAGAAATGCCACACAGATCAAAGCAACTGTTGCCTGCCAGCCTTAATCGGTAGTGTCATTGATCTACTTACACTAGTCACGAAACCGGATTCCTATAGGGGCATGAAGGCTTATTTATGCACGGCGCGATTGGACTAGCCTGGTAATTAACCAAAGTAGAGGCAACCAGTGTTGATGTCGTGCTTGCATTGTTTTAGCAGATTCATTGCACTATAGGTGGGAATCGCCAGACACTGTTTAATCTTATGTGCTGTTTTCCCCTTCTTCGCGCCCAGTCGGAGTCTTCCAGTAGTCAAAAAACAACATCCGACACAAATCGGTCACCTATAAGCAGTCTTATTAACTCCGGTCAGAGCAATCGCGGAAGTAATCTTGGAGTGGCCGGACCACCGGGTGGATTCCCATTGATGGTAGCCGCAGAGACGCTGGCTGCCAGCTTTGGCGTCCACATGAATCGAAGTCAAGCTGGAATTCTGGACCCGACTTCACGAATTACACTGAAGAAAACCTCTTCTGGAGCCTCGAAGTCGGGCTCTAGTTATAGCTCCCTCCAATCTCCTCACGGTGAGTAATGCACATAACTTTTTGCTAAACTTAGGCCATTCCCTTATGAGAAATCATGGTAATCACATACGTCACCATCATGACCGAAAACACTAAGCTCAGCTTTGGGGAGGCAATTGAAGGAACCCACAACCGATTCCTGAAGACGATTGGTTGCCTCTTATTGTTTTAAATTCCGCTGAATTAATGAATGATCAGTCATTATAAACCTGCAATCATCTGTTTCCGAATTACCGACACAAAGCTTGGCTACTAAAACCCTGTATTTTTGTCTGGAAAAAAGTTAGAATGCTGGGCCGATGATGCAATCTATAAGACATTTATTTAGAAAAATAACTCCTTAATTCTTGAAATTTTGGCAAGGATTGACAAGATCTTCACTCCTGAGGTCACTCAACCTTTTTAATGTTTTCGCAGTCTAGAGGATTGATAGTAAAATTTCAAGCGCCTAAAATTAGATTTTAATTTGAGATATTATATTCAGTCGTCAGAAGGAGAGACGAGTCCGCATGCTGCATTTCAACCTTCACGAAACACCTCCTCTGTAACCGGAAGAAAATGTTTCCTTTCCTTGTCGCTGTTGACTATGAGGCAGGAGGTCTCTTCCCCAAAACTTCGCTTTGCATTTGGTCATGACACTAGCAGAGTTGTCAGGGTAAACTTCACCTCAGACGTCTTCGTGGTTAAGTTTAGCACAAAAGTTTTCAAAAATTTTTTACATCGTAAACTTGGCAATTTAGTTACCATGTTACGGGAGAACTGAAACCTTTTTCTCACTAACTGCACTTCGTCTTCCTTTTCTGCTAAAATAAGGTAGGTGGCACACTGGATTTATCTGACTCGCATAAAAAACCAGATTCATGTAGAAGAACGTTTAACCTCTTTATCGTTCTCCTCCACTTCCCCGTGGAAGGCTTCGTGAGTGTCTGTCGTTTTCGAGAAGTTTTATTTTGCGCTAGCTGCACAGAGGCGGTACTAGGACGTAATAGGAGTAGGAAATGCGAGGAAAGTTCGGTCCTGGTTCCCGCGGTAGGGGTCCCTCTCCCCTGATGGCATGGAACTCGAACTGTATTCTCACCTCACATTCACAAGACACTTTTGAACAACTTACACGTACTACAGAAAGCGCCTAAATATTTTATAACTTTTTATGTAAATTAGAATAATATTTTTGGCATTTATCGGACCCTCCCCATCGTCCGCCACTTGAAATTAGGGCGAGTCGTTAAGGTCAGCTGCACTTTTTCGTGTCCTCGAATTAAAGAGGCTAAGAATATGACTTAGCTTCATTGGGTAAAACAACCTTTTATTAAAGTTGAACTGGACTTTCCAAGCCGAATACTTGGTTGTCATAATTGAGGCCTTATTAATTTCACATTTTCTATAAATGACTTATGTGAATTTAAAGCTTTCTTTAATAAAATTAGGTCTTTCCGGTTTTTTTCCCTTCGAAATATAGCTTTTACATTGTATTTTACCTTCGATTTTGTCAGCGCCAATAATGACCATTGGAAAGGCTAGGTTAATCGTGTCTGCGCCAAGTTTGAATGAGGGAAAGTCGAAAATGAGTGGGAATGATAAAGAAATGAAAAGCATGAAGGAAGTCACCGAGCTGCCTACGCTTGAATGGCCTTTGTTCAGAAAGGATGCTGTGTTTACCTCCTAAGGGTACAAAACTCCAGCGACTGTATCGCATGGACTTATTTAAAGCTCGGTATCTGATCTGCAAACACTTCATTTGACGTGTAGACAAGCCTGATGCCATTATACCTTTTAACTCCTAAACGATGTCTAGTGCAAGTTTGAAGATTTTGAGTATGCGCAGCTAACATCGGAGCAATAAGGGAAAAAACGCCAAACACGAGCTTATTTTAACTTTTTTTGGCTATTCGATATGCGTCGCACTGTAAACGTCATGTCAGCAAAGATGTGCATGTGAAGAAGACCAGAGCTGTGCATCAGTCGATCAATTCGACATCCGTTGCTGTGGTCTCCGCATCCCATACTGTTGAACAGTGAGATGTGCGGTGCACCGCCTCTTGCGTCAGTGCATTCCACTCACAAATGTCTAAATTCTCTTAGGGGTGAATGGGAGTGGTTTAGTTTGGTGAGGCAAAGGTGGTGGACAACAATCAGACCCTGGATATGGGATCCCGACAGCAGGTGACAGTGGAATTGACTGAATATCAATCAGCACTTTATGAAAATTTTAGAAAGGGTGTCGTCATACGACTTCTTCACCCCTCACTCTGAACTTCTAAGGCAATTACATTTTCATGTGTGTGTTTACCGGGTAACGTTCACTTTTGAATGGACAAAAGGGTATTAAAACACGCCATGCCGCAATCATGTGACAATCTGCACTTCAGTAAGGAAAGGTGGGGGCGGCACTGACTCACTAACTTACCCCGCATATTCCTGTCATAATTTCCACCCTCATTTTGCCTTTGAAGGCACTTAGGAAGCAATAAAAGGATGGATGCGGAAGTGGCTGAGATTTGATTCATTCTGACTCCTGAAGAAATAGGCGATCTTTTTTGCGCCTGATGGAGAAAAGGTAATTGAATGAAAGTATTCCGATTCCTGGCAGGTCCTGCGATAAGGCTGTCAAAACGCCAAATGAGCTTTCACTTCAACGAATCGCATGGAAGATAGTACGAATTAAGATAAAGAAAATGGAAACGGGATGGCTTGCTGACACCGAAGGAGGCCTTTAAGTTGGCTCATCTACCATTTGCAGGCAATAACACATCAGATGGCATGAATGGTGTTGTATTTAATCGAACGTCATTGAAGTATTTTCTAAAGTTGTCAACTCGCAAGAGACAGAATGTGCGAGTAATCTTTTTCCACAGATTCGCCAAGTCCCACACCGGACGTGGGATCCTCGCATCATAAGAGTAGTCTTCTGCGTTCCACGTTCGCGCGTATGCGACAAGTTGCTATGGGGGGAACACAAGTGAATTCTTCAACCACTACTCCGAGTGCCACCATCACTGCTCCCACCTCCTCCTCGTCGTCATCTTTCCTTGCCGGTACCTCAACATCCACTCCCAGTGCCTCCACCTCTTCTCGGTCTGCCTTTCATCAGCGTCTGTCACACTTCTCTCAGACGTTCGCTCACGACAAGTGCAGCCCACGACGTCGTAAACTTAACCAGGTAGATTTGCGTGAATTTGGCTGAGATAATTTTGCTTTAACTTCCATTAAAACTCTTCTGTTATTGAAAAGTTCCATTTACCGAACATATTCCTTTGTGGTTTCCTATGAAGGCCTTCTAAATTACCCATTTTATGTGTCATATTCCTCAAGCAATGATCACAGTGCTGTAGACTAAGATCTTCACCTAAAGACTGGGAAAGCTTCTGCTTCCTGATGGCTAAACATTCTGTCACAGCAGCCTTCTTGCGTCTCCAAAGTAACTTGATGCCACCTTATTTGTAGATCCATCGGAGCTACCAATCCTGTCAGTCTCCACATCCTTCTGACATGGCTGTTGACTCAGAGGCGTCTTTTTATGCAGCTGAATCACGGGACAAGAGGTTCGCCCAACTGCATCTACCTTTGACAGCCGTCCTAGAACCGAATAACTCCTTCCTCCAGTCCATTGGCGATGAAGTGCCTGTCAGTGGTAAGGACATTCACAACATTCTCATTCGTCATTGTTCTGCAGGACGGATTTTTAAAACTGTTAATGGCACTTTCAAGGGGAGACAATAAGAACTTTTGTTTTTTATTTTAACGATTACGAATGATTTCATAGGACGGCTTGAGGGGATTCCTTGGCAAATCCACTTTGGTAGGAGGAAATCAGCCATTGGTTATGCTCACATGACTCATAGCACTTAGTTTTGACCACAAAATTATCACGCCCTAAACAACATATTTTTCGGGGTGTACTTTCGGCGAATACGTGGTTTCTGATGCACAAATGAAGGGGTGGAGGGAAGGGTGCTATAATTATTCCAGCACTGTGCTCTAATACGTCTGCTTACAAACTCCAATGCCTAGCAAAGTCTACCCTCATGAGTTTGGAGCTATGATTATAAATAGAAAGGTTCCATACTTATCGGAGCCCACTCAAGATAAAACTCGACCATTGCACACTCCTGATAAGTTGAGGCACCCGGAAAGAGCTCTTGCTTTGAGCTTTGCCTCGTCCGTCGGTAGCATTTTATGTCATCCTTTGAGCACGAACTATCCACCCGCTAGCTTTAAGTCAGGCAAGAGTTTCCACTTGTCTTACTTAATTACTATTACTAGTCAATGCATGCATGAGGACCCATTCACATTTTTTACCTTTTGTGCTCGTGGTTTTGTAAATTGCATTTGAAGGGGCCTTTCTATACCTAGTGAGATGCTCCAATTCTGTCAACGCCTCCCATCACTCCAATTTGCCCCGTCTCAAACCCATCGCACGTTCTTTCGTTCGCCTTTTATGAGGGCCACTTACTGCCTACTGGCAAAATAATTTTTTGGCAATTTTTTTCCCACATTTCGAGTCGATGCCTTCTCTGGTGCTAGCGCTTTTACCTGCATATGTAGTCACACCGCTTTTCGTTAGTGCTAATCTACTAGTAGATATAAGTAGAATATTCAGCCCATAATACCACATACATGTTTTTCAAATAGAAAATTTGCTTATTTACGAAGTAAAACATTTATGAAGCATGCTCTATGATGATCCTCTTAACAATGGCTCATTAACTTTTCAACTTTCTATGAAACCATTAAATGGTGCTGCTGTATTTTCTCAATTATCCTCATTCATTTTTGAAATAGTCTTCGACCACTTTTATGAGGCGAGAAAAACTCACATTAGCACATATGCACTAGGACATGTACTTCATCAGTACAGGGTATTCGATGGATCTTGCCTAATTTTATTGCTCTTGACCTTGGCGCAGCCAATGAATTGGCAGTAACCATGCCCATGCAATTGGCCGTGGTCGACGCTGCCATGGTTGCAGCGAGTGGTGGGACTAGTACCTGCGTAGAAGCATCCGGAGCCGGCGTAGGACGCGCCGTTCAAGCAGGCGAGGCCGACCACGAAGAGTACGGTCGAACCTCCTTAATGCAGCAATCACACCTCCCCGTGGAGCATTCCACCGGAAAAGGAATAGAATCCACCTCTACAATTAGATCCATCTCCGTCAGCACAGAAATCATGAATACTTCCCATTCTGTGAGTACCTCTAATGCCCTCTTCGTTCAAAAGCCTAAGGTGTTTGCTTACCGACTTCATGCCAAACAATGTGCTTTGAGTAGCCTTCAAGAGGCGGGAGAGAGGCTCTTAAAAAGGAGCAATTCTTGCCCAAGCCTTTATGATAAGCAGACTTGTAGTTATTGCTTATTAACTTGTTCCACAAATGAATCACACTTATTGGAAGTCACAGTCGGATGAGGGCTACTTGTGTAACAAGTTCTTAGGAGGTAATAAATATTCTTCTGCATTTTATGAATAGGGATTTGACATTTTGGACATGAAATTATCGAAATTTAACTGTGTATGGTAAAACAAAGTCAGTTCTAACTAATGGTCCTTCTTCAGGAGTACACTTGAATACCTGGAATGCGTGGGGTCAAATAGTTATTGTATGCGTCCTTGTGCATTTCCGCCAAAATTCACAGCTCCTAGAAAGCGAGAGTTAGGCTTTCCTTGCCTCTTGTCTTTTACAAGGCTACAGGAGTGAATTAGCTCCATAATTTTTGTAAAAAGTAAGTCTCGATTGGGCTAGCGCTTACTTGGCGCTGAGATACCGTTTTTACTTATTAAAACGCCCTTGCTCCAAAACAATCTTAGACTATTAATTATCAAAAATTCTAACAACGATTTTTGTTCACGTATGAGATGCATGAGGCGCGCCCTCAGACCGACTATAATGTATACGATATTGAGGAGAATTTTATTTGAGGTCTTATGCTGACAAAGAAGTTTTGCATATAAATACTTAACTGTCGTATTGAAAGTTTCACTGGAGATTATAGCTCATTGCGTGCCACCACCACGTCTTCTCAATAACCTCTTAAGCTATTCAGTGTCTTGATTGGTTCACTCAAGGTCGTTCGTCTAACTATCCTCAATCCTTATTGGTTTATTCAACTCGAAGGTTGATTTGTTACTTGGGGGATGACAAACTTGGTGAATTCTGGGATAGGTATTGCTTTGACCTCTGGGTTGGGTTAGTCATTAATAATGCGGACTAACACCCAAAAGATTTTTATTAAATAAGTGCCACGAAGGTTTGTTATGTCAGGATACGCTGTAAAATGGATGGCTTGCCTGTCTTATATTTTCGCCTAATTGTCAGAAGGCGTGGTTTCTTGACTCCATTTGCCTAGTGGACTGATCAGTTGGGCTGAATTTCTGAGCTCTCTTTCACTTTTTTTTCTCCTTTTGCGTTCCCATCTGTCCGAAATCTGAGTGGGGTCAAATTGTGCCTTCATTTGCATTTCCGCAGTGTTAATTATCATTTCACCAATTGGAATACAAAGTGAGAGAGATAGAGAGAGCCGAAGAGAGACCCAGCTTGTGACACTTTTAACTTGGCCGATCTGGTGTCTTCCTGGAAGATGGTTTACGTACGTTGGAGACTAAATCGGGTATCTTGCTCCGTTTAACATTTCTTGCTTGCCTTTTCAGCACTCATTAGGCATTGAGGTGCTAGTAGCTCGAAGACGACGGCTTTTTACAATTTACTCAAATTTGTTGTATGGTTTAATAAATTGGTTTGTAAACCTTGCCCTTTTGCATAAAAGACGGTTTCTTTGGCAAAATTCCAAGCAACTTAACCCTTAGTGTTACAACAACATTTTGTGAATGCGTAGATTTTCGGAGCGCCCCGTCGTTATCTATCGGAAATTAGAGGAAGTTCCGGAAAGTCTTATGTTTTTATCATATTTGGAGGGAATTTTGTTTTTGCTGCGGCAATTCGTACTTCACAGATTTCCTGTTCTATTGGTTGTGCACGCGAATATTTTCCACTGCTCCCCTAAACCACATGAGATGAGCCAATAAGGTGTCCGAAGTCCAAAGCTCTCGATCAGGCGCAGTGAAACCGTGACGGCGTAAAGCGAACCTATTCGTGCCAACAAAGCGGACTTAGTCATGCAAGAAGTACAACTCCTATAGTTCTAGAGTTTTCATCATAACGCTTTGGATTTAGGCTGGCTCTCATAAAACGCATGCAATATTTATCACCCTTTGAGCTCCTTAATTTGTTGTTTTCACTTTCTCATGACAGCACTTTCGGCAGCCATATGTCCTGCTAAAGTTATTCAAGCATCTTCTTTAAGACCCATCAAAAGTTACTCAATAAAGTGTCCACGCTCAAACGAATATCTCAAACTTTCTCTGTGCGGAATAGGATATTTGAAGGTGGGAAGCCCGCATCACGAAGGATGGCAATTTGCATTTCACAAAACAGTAGAAACCTAAGCAAAAGACTGAAATTAGCTCATATTTTAAAGTCATCGTTTGAAGTAGGGACTGTGAGGTTAAATTATTCTTTTTCGAAACAAAAACTGCATTGGGTAATAGATCCCTGATGCTTTGCTGGGGTTGGTTTTACTGTTCGGTCTGAACAGCCAAAAGTGCAATGTGGTTGCTGAAATGTCTGCACGCTCAGACACCATCCGCATTTGATAACCACACGCTTTTGTCAGCCATACTTGGTATCTGGCAGCGTCAGCTATAAGTGGTCATGACACATCCCGCTTATTTTATGGAAATCTGTTGATCTTTTAGGTTGACACATCTACGTTTTGCATATAGTTTTGTATATATATATATTAATACTTGATACATTATTTGTTTCTTCTAATTTTGGCACTTTCTTAGGAATCTTTTTTTGACTGTTGAAAACCAGTTTCTGATATGTTGTACTGTTTTTGTAAGTAGTAAACTGTTATTAAACTGTGAATAATGATGCCAATTCTACTCCGACAGCAAAAGGAGTTCAATACCCAGACAACTCGGAGATTGCTGCGAAGACCCACTGACCCTAACATGAGCATCGAATCGGAACCTGGTGATTTTCAGGAAGCAGTCCTACTGGACCCACCAATTCTCCACCCTGAGAGATCGCTGGTTGGTTCCCTCCCTCTTCATCAATGTGCAAGGAGCACATTTTCGGCCGTAAGTCAGGCGTTTAAATGCAATTCGACACAAGTTCTTTAACCTAGTTGACATTTTTTTCTTGGGACAGTTATCATTTGCCTCACTGTTTTTGCCATTTCCATTTCCTTTTAATTAAATAAGCGATGCCACACTTGTGTTAACTATTAGTATGCGTAAGCCGATGTTATGTCCAGTAGTCTAAAATATATATTGCGTGGGCTACTGCATAATGTGCTTTAATATTAATAATAGAGATTCGTGTTCTCTAACTGATTTCGTCTCTTATGGCTAATTTCTGAGGCGATGTATTCCAATTGAAACTAAGTTAGTGGTGCTTCTAGTCACAGGGCATATTGCTTATCGCAGAAAAAAATGATTTCCATGGTTGCAAAATTCCAATTTGTTGTCCCGAAATCCACAAAAGGAGCTATTGTTCCTACTTATTAATATTCAGTAGGCATCCAACTTATCCGTTGATGTTTGTCTTCAGTTCGTTCCATTTGTGGTGGAGCTATGCGTAACATTAGTGGAGAAATTCGGCCTCAATTGCGTGGGCATTTACCGGGTTTCGGGCAACAAGCTAGCTCATGATTTTATGGCAGCTGAGCTCTGCAAAGTGAGTTCACATAATTTGCCAGACTTTCCCATCGGTTTTGCCTGCTTGATTCAAAAATTTTTGCGACTGTTTTAGCAACTGGGAGACATTGATGCAACCAATGAGAAATGGAATGATATTCACGCCTTGGCTTGCGTGCTGAAAACCCTTCTGCGTAATCTGCCAGATTCGTTAATTCCAAAAGGTAACTGGTACCTCGAAGACATGAAACTCTTCATAAACTTTTTGTGCAATAGTTAAAATGCAGATTTAAGTTTAAGCCACTCGAATGGGAACGTTAAGTTTTCGACTTAATGATGCTCAAACATAAAAAAGAACTTGTCCACTATCTGTCACACAGTCTTCATGCAATTCTCAAGGCTGCTGGAGGCGAGTTTCCTTATAAAGCATCTTAATAAAAAGCAAAAGGTCCATTTTACGGCAAATGGCTCTTCCGATTAGTAGACTACATGTGGGTTGCGGGCTCTAGAGGCTATGTTTGTGAGTTTTTTGAATTCATATTTTGACAATGAATATCACATTGTTTGCCGACCTATGGAACACGACTTAAGTTTGTTGTTTCAGTCATGTATCCCGAGTTCCTTGCGGCATCGCGTGTGGAGTCGTGGGAGCGTCGACTGCTCTCGGTGCAGCGTCTCCTCAGCATCATGGAATGCTACCCCAAGCATCCGGAATATCGAGTGCATCGAGCCACTCTACGTTATCTGGCCACCCATCTGGCCCGCGTGGCCTCACGTCAAGCTGTCAACCGGATGACGGCTTATAACTTGGCGCTGGTTTTCGCGCCCAATCTCATTCAATCGAACGAGGATAGTCCCGAGCTCTTTATTGCTGACTCAAAGTTTAAAATTTGGGTGCGTTTTGTGTATTTATTTTACGAAAGTGCACCGAGTCATCTCTAAAGTGAACAATGTTTGGTGAAATGGGCTTCTGCAGTTTTCTACACCCAATGACACACAAGCACAATGCTGGAGTAATCTCATTTGGATTAAATGGTATTGGGTTTCGAAGTGTAATGGACAATAGGAAGACCATTTTGAGGTAAACAATGTTGAGTTCGTTTACTTTGAGTTGCGACATAAAAGTACTTTATTATCTTATTTTAGTCATTCGGTCAATTTGATCACAAGGAGGTGATTGGGAGTCACTCATCATTAGTTATTGTCAAGCCACTTCCCCTTTCTTAGATTCTGCAGGTGTTATTCACTTCTTCTATTTCTTCTCTTGTCGATCACTGCTGAAGAATTCTCTTCACATGTGCATCTGCGATCATTTACACAACTTTAACTCGCTTTTTCACATTTTAACAACTCCCAGATTGTAGTTTTTGAGTGACTGACGCCCAACATACCGACATGGTGGTAGAAAATAGACTGGTTTGCCATTTTCTTTGCAGCTCCTGGAAACAATAATCAAGTACCACAAGTGGGTGTTCTCGCCCGACTTAGGCCTGGAGAGTGGATGTTTCGTGCCTGAGGACTCCGACAAGGTACTGTTGACGGACGAGGCATTGGCGGAGGCGATGGCCGCTTCATCCTCGGGTGTCTTGCAGGACTTTGAATTTGCTAATCAGCCAGGACGCTCCGAAGGTTAGTCCTGCTGAACTATTCGCTTGTTTTTGCAGTGAATCTACAGATTCCTTTATTGAGGTACGCATTTCGCGATCTCAAATGAGTGGTTCGTCTTCTCACAGGTGACGTCCGTCCTGTGCTTCAGGAGATGCTTCATGCAGCAGCCCTCCTCCCTCCCCCACCCTCCACTTCCGACCTTGAGGTGGCCGAGGAACCAGGTCCCAGTCTGGACAAACCGACTGACGTGGCCACGGTAGTTGAGCAAGCGCTTGAATCTAGTGCCGTGGAGCTGCAAGAGATACAACAGCAGCAACAGCACCAACAATTGCAACAGCATCATCAGCGCCAGAGAAACCGACCTGTCAGTCAGCCAGGGGGGGAAAATCGGTCTCACAATCAGGAGAGGTAAGATAAACATGCCAGGGGGTGCAGAATGTTTATAAGTTGGTTATGAGAAATCGTGAATGTTCTAGCAATAAAGGCAAGTATATGAGAGAGTGTATGAAATTAAGATCCACTAAATAGACTAATAGTTGAGTAGATGAAGGCGTATTTAATTTAAAAAAAAAGAGTTTCGACATTCTAAAACCCCTGAGCTAACACTCCACTTTCTCCCTTGCCTCTATTCCAAGGTCACTCTCGGTGGGACGACGGAGAGAAGAGCGTAAGTAATCAATTGTTCGACTACTTGATCTCGCTAATAAGGCATTACAAACTAATTTTACACCTACGCAAGGCCAATGCCATCACTATGTGAAATCTGTTTTCCGTCATTTTATAAATAGTTAAACTTGAAGTTTGATGTGTAAATCTCCTCTAAGGCAAACTCAGAGAACGGAAGTAATTGACAAATTTATGAAGCATTTGTACTTTCGATAGTAACTGACACCAGGAGAGCTTTATTGTTTTTTGCTTTTATATTTGTAGATCAGGGGAAGGACATCGAGTTAATCACATGTAGTGCTGCATTTTCTCCGTACAAAGAGGTCTCTGACTCGCCAGAAAGTAAGAAAACTATTTGGACTTCATATTTTTTGTTAAATTGGCCAATTAAAATATTTTTCCTGGCTTTTGAATAAAACCCAGAGTCATATTTTCGCCCTTTTCCTTCTTGATTTTGAGAAATGCCTTCGACAAAGGCGAAAAATTACGGATTATTTCAGCAAACAGATCAAAACTTGCTACTTCGAAGTTTCCTTTCAGTGTCAAGATCAGTCGTGTCAACGAAGCGCTTATAAGTCACGTTGGTCGGGACCTCTCTCATTTTGTCAGCTGGTTTCGGGTACAGCTGTGTAGATATCACAAAAGGTGGGACAGTTGAGAGATAAGGATTTCTCCTTCCTGTTGATTACGTTCATAGGCATCGGAGAATGTTGTCAAGCTACTTATTATGTATAAGTAGGAGCGTGGGCCAGTTAGCCACAAGTAACCACTTGCTCTTCCCTATATATTTCTAATGAGAAACAAAGACGCAAACGATTGCTATGCAATACAGGAGTAAATGGACTTCAAGAATTTTCGAAGAGTGCAATATTCAGCGCACCAAGCGCTCCAATTGTAATTTTTGACCATTTGGGTGATAAATATGCAATTTTACATGGGAAACATTTCCTAGTGTTCTTTCTCATTGGTACTGGAAACACATAATTTTGCCTTTTCTCGTCATTCAGAGTGACACTGCCTCACTCCACTTCCCTCGTAAGTCACCTCGCATCCAAAATGCTTTGCACCCAACAGTTTCCCATTTATCCACGCCTTTGTTGTTGTTAAAGCCTGACTTTCTATGGTTGTTGTCATCATCATTTTGTGCTGTGAAGTCAACTCATCATCTGTTGAACACTGTTAAGGAGCTTTTTTATGTTATCCGTTTGAATTTCAAGGTTGTTCATTTTTGCATGAGGTTCACAATCCTGCTTTGGCTGTCAAATTTTTAATTTGCTTTGTGAATGTCGCGAAAAGTGTGTAAAATAGAAGATAAGCGTGTGCGCCAGGAAAAGTGCCACGTCCCAAGCCATTGCGAGGAAACCAATCAAAACTCGAGTGTTTGTCAATTGGGACACTCGTACGTTGACGCTCCTATGCACTGAACTGCGCGTTCTGGAGTCCCGCGTAGATCCTACCTTTACGTTCAAAAATCCGGGAGAATCTCATTTTTATTATGATTACCATGACCTAGGAAACAGTAACCTATTCCATTTTTGCCTTTAGGACCCACCCTTCTAATAATCCCTGAAGACCACTGTGATGTAGAGAGAGAAGACTCCTCATCCGCTCGCATGCAACATTTGCTTCTGACACAGTCTCCTACCACACCACCACCATCACCTCGCATATCAAGCTTTAACCAATCCCTGAACCCTTCCACTAACAATACCAACAAGACGGCGTCTTCCTCTCGTTGGCGTCCCTTCTACCGACAGCGTCGTCACAGTGGAGGTGAAGCACCTCATAGTAAGTCAACAATGGAGATGGCAGTTGTCGGAGCAGGAGAGGAGATCTACAGCATCAGTCATTTGGTGGCTTTTCGACGAACAAAATCCTGTCGAAGGCGAGGCAACAACTCTAATGAGGCGAGGGAAGCACTTTCCGAGTCCCTGGAGCTGACAATCCAGGAGCCAGAGGAGCATCCACAGCAAGTGCGAAAGCAATCAACTTCGCCTTCGTCTAGCAATGAACCGTCGTTCCGCGTTCGACACCATAGCCTACGTAAATGGTGGTTCCACTAAATACTCTCCTTCCTGTCTTTCCACATCCTTCACTTTCCGTTTTCGTCTTAAAATTGATAATTTCGAACACTAATCCTCCAGATGATTTTTAAAAGCTACTATTGCCATTGCGATAACCCCTTCCCCTCTGTCTCTGATAGCAGATTTCACGCAATCCTGTACAAAACCCGAACTCCTCATGAATTGTAGAAAATTCCTCTTTTTCTTCCTCCCCCCGCGGGCCTTCAATGTCAAATCAGAGCTTCGCTCGAACTCCCATCCCTTAAGACCTCTCTTCATTGCACTCACAGCAGATTTACGACACTAGTACGAGTGAAGCGGTATGCATATACATACACAAAGGTGGCAGTCACTCATATGTGTGTGAGCATGTGCCAGTGTATTCACAGTGTTCATTTTACGACCCGTTTTGGCCAATAAATACTCGGTTATCTTTCACCTCCTTCCATTTTAGTAGATCCAGTCACCCTCGAATACGATCGACTGCAAGATTGGAAAGCGAAAGCCACCTTGAGTTGACGATAAAACGGCTAGAGTATAGATGAATACAACCTTGGATTCCCTGACATCGTCTTGCATCACACTGAGAGGCGGATCTTGTGCACCATATACCTGAGAGGGGCAAGAGCGTGGGTCACGTGGACGCAGTATTGCGCAACATAAATCTGATTTCCTAACAAGCGTTCCACAACCACCGAAGAAAATATTCAAAAATTTGTGGTAGGAAGAGGCCATTATTAGAATATAACTACATAAGCCAAAGGAAAGTTTGTATGCTCCTAGTTACCAATATAGTCGGAGTAAGAAAAAGGCGTAGAAGAATTGTAATTGAAGCCTGCATAACGGACATGACGTAAAAAATCTAATAAAAAGGAGGTATAGAAACATCAAGGAGGCCTCACGGAAGGAAATAGTCACAAATGGTCCTGAGTGAGTAACAATGATGTTAAAATAAATTCATACAATAAAAAGATACCTACATTTGGCGAAGCCTAACAACACTAAACAACGAACCCCAAAAGGAAAATAGGAAGCCAACCCGAACGAATGTTAACGAGTCAAAAAGAACACATAAAAATTGACGATCTATGTATGAAGGAGACCGTTAAGAGTCCAAGAAACATAACAACTGAAGTGAGAGGTGTCTAACAGGTGGGTGAAACCGCGACAAACAATGCATGACACACATGGAAAGGATTTGGCAAAGACTTCCTAGGTATTCTGTTGGGCTTCACTGTTCTTCTTCGCTTGCTTGGCTTGAAGAGCAGCAGCATCCCTAAGAAAATAATACCAAGAAAATTCAAACCTTTGACGGCGCTCCTCCAGGGTAAGTCCTTTATTACTGGCTTTATCCTTGGAGCCAGACTTCTTCTGATTTTCCTTCTGCTTTTGTTGGTTTTTTTGACGCGCCAATTCGCGCTGGTTACCACCTGCAACAATGGCAATTAACAAAGTTTGAAGAATAGAACGTACGAGTCATCACAGACAGACCACAAAGTACCGACGAAACAATTGAACACTGCACGAAAAAAGATAGTGCCCTATTCATTAGTTAGAAAAATTAAAGGAACCATAATCTCAACATCGATCCACTCATTTTCTATATATATAATATATCTAATTTTTAATTTTTATTTTATTAAAACTTTGTTACAATCAGGCTGAAGCTGAATTATGAAAGCGTGGGATTATTTACCGATGATTAGATAGTGATAAGCCGAACACAAGTTCAAGAAAAAATTCTTTATGTGGTGCTCTCTTTATGTGACTTTTGGACCTTCGGTGGTTGCTTTAGAATTCTTTTGATCCTTGAACACGTGGGTTGGTCACCGGGCTATTCTCAGGCCCATTTGCTCTGCCCCCTTTGGAATACATGTATCCAGCCTCGCTTACTGCCCATTTCGATCCTATAGGAAGCCTCAGGATGCTACACAGGTGGCAGCGGAAAGCGAAGCTGACACTTCTTACGACCTCTATCCCAGCACATACCGTTTGTTGCATGCATCTGTGGTGTCGGTGTCAGAAAGTCTCCGAATCTCTCACAACGAAAGGGTTGAGACTAACGTTTACATTTGGTCCCACCTTATTCTCGAATTCCACAAAATTTTCATGTCAGAATTATCCCTATTACAGCTGCGTACGGGTGTCGGAAATGACATTATTTCTCCTTACATACGGGACAGCGGCACATCCTGTTTTCCCTGTAACATATATGCTTTGTACCAGAGTTCCAACGTCTATTCCTGGAAGCAATTAGTGGTCAGCAGGTGTATGCGGCCCCCACTCTGGCTGTTAGACCGAGCGTAACTGCAGTTGCAGTTGGAGCTGTCGAGGAGACCAGGTACGGTTCTTCAGTCTCATGGTTTCTGTCAACTGGCTCGGATGGCCCGTGGGTGCTTTCTTGTAGTACCGAATACGTTGTGGTGGCTGGTGCGTCAGGTGCACCAAGGAGAGCGCTGAGGACGTAGCTCAAAAGAAGAGAGGAGCAGTGTAGTGCTTTGTTTATGTGACTACCTGACGTTTGGTGGTCACTTTAGGATTTGTTTGGCCCTTTTACTCGTGGGCTGGCCTTCGGACCATGCTCAGGTCCATTGGTCCTGCCGTCTTCGAAATATATATACCTATTCTCATTTACTGCCTTCCACCCTATGGTAAGTCTCGGGGCGCTACACTTCGAAGGGTTACTTTTCTCACGTTTAGTGAATAGGATCTCTTAATATATTCTGATTTTCCTGAACCCCTGACTTCATAAATGGGGTGGTTGAAAGAAGTTTTGCTGGCATCTTGTACAGAAAAGGACGTCCCTGTGGAACCGGCTTCTCTGCCCCAGGACCCTGAACCTTGGGCTTTAGAAGGGGTTATTTGCAGAAGCCTTACTCGGCATCGTGTACAGAAGGGAAGGAGATGAAAAGAAGTAGATGAGACGAGGAGCAGGCATCAGCCCAAAAAGAGACCTACACACCTCTCACGCACTGGAGTCATCCTCGCTTCGATTTTTCGCCTCTCCTTTATTAAGACCAACTTAAACACGCTGGTATACATTACGACTTCGTCCCGCTTCGCATGAACGGAGATTGCGTTCAAATTGCTTAATCGCCTCTTCCCTGTAAAGGCAACTTAAACACATTTGAAATATTATACGGTAAAAGAAGCAAAATCGCTCAATTTAAGCTTAAATGAACAATTTCAAAATAGACATTAAATTGAGAGGAAGAATAATTTTAGTAAAATAATGCTCGGTATCAATTTCATTAAATGGCCCCAGAGCTCTTAGATCCTGCACATGACTATTTAATACCAAGCCTTTATCTCTTCCGCTTCGTTTGGACTTTATGTACTCTATCCACGTGATGCCTTCTTCTACACAGGAGAAGCCTTAGGACGCTACAGCCGAAGCAATATGGCCGCCAAAGTGATTGGCACAAAATCGTTGAAAAAGAAGTTTTGTACCATACAATGGTATGCCAATCAAGCTTCTCCGTGTCTGATTTTACACCCTTAAAAAGGGGTTGTATGTCAACTATAACGCGGATCGAAATACTTTGTTAATTCGAGCTCCTGTATAAATGGCCGTCCTTTGTCGGCCGTTGTGCTTCGGTTGGGTGAGCTGGAGTTTGGACCAAGTGGAAGCCTCAGCACTTCTTTTCATCTCTGGTTAGAAGCATCCAGTCAAGGCTCCTACCTTATATTATCAAATTGAAAGTATTGGAGGAATAGTGGGGACACTTGTTTTAATGTAATATTATGCAAAACTTCGTCTAGAGGAGGCCATCCAAATTTTAATATTCGTAAGTGGGAAGGACACGGGCAAATAATTATTATGAATTTTTCCTCACTGGTTTCATTTTTCGCAAACGAGGCGTTACGCAACTGGTGACATGTGGTTAAATATATTTTGTAGACCTTGATGAATATTCCATTTGCGCATGAGCTAGAAACCAGTTGAAAAATGAAGCTACATTCACTATAGTGTCGAGAGGAGTACGCATCGGTCACTTCAGTAAATCCCCACCGCAACACACTGTTGATGTTTTCTGAATGACAGGCTACTAAACGTTGATAGTGACTTGGATGGGCTAGTATCTGGTACAACCAAGGTGGCCAGGAGAAAAGCTTCTGAATTTACAGTATCATTACCGATTGAGAGCATCAGTGCAGCAATAAACCGTCCACTTTAATGTGTGAACCTCCAACACCTTATAATAACTCTGGCCAGATGGCTGTCTCGGGAAGGTAAAGCGAATGCTTGCTTATATTTTGGTCTTGATGAGAGGATGATTAAAGACTGTATCACACTACCTAATTAGTTGATAAAGCACTCACTCGATGTAAATAGCTCCTAGCCATGAATTTCAGAGCTGCTTGTACATTAGGTCCTGTTTTGCCTTGGAGAGGGCTTTTGTAGTCGCATTTAGTGTAATCTAGTTCAGTTGCTATTGTGATTCTATATTTACAAATATCAGATAATTTTGCTTTGGAATGAAGCGTAACATTCGTCTTTTATAACGACCTATAAACAAAATGAGTGATTGCTCGAAAATTGCTTTACAGACTGATTTGACATTTCACCGTTCTTTATGCAAATCACCGCAGGTTACGGAAGTTTGGTATTCCCAATACTAAGCTGTGCTGCCAAAATTGAGATCCTACACCGCAGGTACAGTGAGGAAAATGAGTTGGAACCACAAATAACAAGCTGCAAAATCTGTAAAGTATACCTGCCTAAAAAACTGTTGGCAGAATGTATAACTGTTTTTAATGTTTTTTAATGTTCAATTGCCTTTATGGGGATCCGTCACTGTAGTCACTAGTCCCAGCTCAAAACTCATCTTCTTGGAATCCTGAGCAGACGCCTTCTTTCCAATGGCTTTATTGGGCATTAAGCGAAGTTACACGATGGAAAAGAGGTTGACAGGGGTGAGGTCCTAACGGATCTTCCGCACGCTCCTCGAGCACCACATTCGAATAGAATGTTGCCTCACGCTTATAAAGACAATTAAAACATGCGATGTGAATTACAGCAACTTTGACGGCCACTTCGTTTTTGCTGGGACGGTGAGACTTCGGACGATGCCAACAAACCTCTTCTTATTATTCCGCCTTCATTTGTGTACTGATTCGGCATGGTGACTCCAAAAACTTAATTTAAAGTCATAAGAAACTGCCACAATACAAGACAAAGGTGGTTTATAAGTAGATCAAGTCAAGAGACAATCTTTTCTTAACTTTTTGGAATGCATGTACTGAACCCAATTAAATGCCTTCTTTTAACTAGTGGAAGGTCTAAGGGAGCTATGCAGCTAGCCAGGCGAGGCGAATGTACAACATCAATAATACGTGCTTCCAAGATTTTACAAACTAATTTGTAATGCATATCTTTGTTTAATTGAACAACTAATATTTGAAGTTACTGTGAGATTCGTCCGGCCTTTGTACGCGTGGGCTGACCTTTAGACCGAGCTCAGGTTTTTTCTCTGTTCTACATATACCACATGTATTCCGCCTAATTAATGCCTTCTACCAAGTATGTGCCTGATCCTGTTTTCCTTGCAACACACCTGTCCAGATCGATCCCGAATCCGGCTGTTAGACAGAACATAACTCCACGTCCAGTTGAAGCTGCTAAGAAGGAGACCAAAGGCCCTTCTTCAATCACCTGGATGCTGTTGACTGACGCGATTAGATTGTGGCACTTTCTTGCAGTACCGAATATGTTGTGATGGCTGGCGCGGGAGGCGTACCGAGAGGAGCACTGAGGACGTTGTTCAAAAGAAAATAGAGGCAGAGTGATACATTTTTAAGTGACTGCTAGATGTCTGGCGGTTACTCTAAGATTCGTCTAGCCCTTGGACGCGTGGGATAGCATTCTGGTCGGGCTCATGCTTAATCACTTTTTTCTATCTGGAATATATGTAATACGCCGTTCTTGTAACCATGTGACTTTTGGTGGTAACTTTAGGATTGGTCTGGCCCTTGTACACGTGGGCTGGCCTTCGGGCCATGCTCTGGCCCACTTGTCACGTCGTCTTTGGAATGCATGAATTCAGCTGCACTTACCAGCTAGGAAGTCTCGGGACGCTATAATACATGTAGTCAGTTCTGCTTAATGGTCTTTTCACCTGGTTAGATGTCTAGTGACACTAAAGTGGCTTCTGCGGTTTGTCAGATAAAATCGATCTAGACGATATTTGCATCGGCGCTACATTTGTTTCTCATAACTTAATAATATTTGAGCGAACTATGGCAACGCGATCCCAAACTTTGTGCATAAAAGTATTTACGACTTGATGGAATCACCTTAAACAAGGTTTCATATCCACATTATATTTGCTCATTTTAAGCTGTAGGGTCAGTTTTCTTTTCTGTAAAAGTAACCCAAAAATTCGTTGAATTAACTTTTTACCTTTACTAATGTACTTTCGTCCTCTTTTAATATTCATTTCTCATTTTCTTTCATTTCATATGGATTACTTAACTTCCTGATTCTAACATTAATTGGTCAGCACAACTTCAGTTCATCCAATGAGGAGCCGCGTTTGAAGCTGATTTTGTTGGCTTCGCGTGATTTGCGCCCGCAATCAGTCCTATCCTATTTAAGGCGGGTTTGAATGCTACTCTGCGCCTTAGATGTCTTCACCTCCACCAGCAAAGAGACAACATATAATTTTGTCTGAAGAACCATCCTCACCACTCATAACTAACGCTAACAGTATTAACAATCATTGCAATCACGTAATCCCCTTTGTTATTATTTTTTGACTGTTTGCTTTTATCTAGGTTATGGGAGTCAACGGTGAATCAGGTGTTGATGAGAACTTGTATAGCCGTCAGTTATATGTCATGGGCACTGACGGTATGAAGAAGTTGGCCTACACCAAAATTCTCATAACTGGCCTTAGTGGCCTCGGCTTGGAGATTGCCAAGAATTTGGTTCTTGGTGGTGTTGGGTCCATCGATCTACACGACCCCGAAGCCATCACAGCCTTGGAGTTATCCTCCAATTACTATGCAACCCTGGAGGATGTAGGTAAAAACCGGTGTGAAGTTGTCCGGCCCAAATTAGCTGAGCTTAATAACTACGTCATCCTAAACGTCATCAAGAAGGATGAACTAACTACAGATGTTTTGCGCAAGTATCAGGTTGTTGTGTTCGCCAGAGGAAATATGGACCAGTGGAGAAAACTAACAAAAGTTTGCCACGAGCTGAATATCAAGGTGGTTTGCGCAAGAACCTGCGGTCTCTTCGGCCAAGTTTTTTGTGACTTCGGGAAGGATTTTACCATTATCGATGCAACCGGTGAACAACCAACGTCGGTGTTTATTCAGTCGGTTGAAAAGGTTTGATCGTCTTCGAGCATCAACGAGCTGTTTGCTTTTAGAGCAAAGAAGGCGTTGTGGTTGGTGTGGAGGAATCTGCCCACGGTCTCCATGATGGTGATTATGTCACTTTCTCTGAAGTCAGAGGAATGATTGAACTGAATGGTTGCGAGCCGCGAATGGTTAAGGTTTTGGGTGGGTATATTGCGTCACTATTTAATTATATTTTCAGGTCCTTCCGCTTTTTCAATCGGCGACACCTCAAATTTCTCTCAATATGTTGGTGGTGGACTATGTACTCAGGTCAAAATGCCGGAGAAAATGGATTTTGTATGTTCTTTTTCACTATTCATTGCTTTTAGCTCGAGATGTCTGAAGCTTACAAGAATCCGAGTTTTCTCACCAGCGATTTTGCGAAGTTAGAAACGCCGCCGCAGTTGCATCTGTTTTTCGAAGCCCTCTCGCAGTTTGAAGTGCAACATGGTCGTGCTCCGATTCCCTGGAACGAAGATGATGCTGCTATCTTTGTTGAATGTTGCAAAGTCGTTAATAAGGGTGTGGACGGTACTGCTGCTCATGTTCAACAGATCAATGAAGAGCTGGCCAAAATATTCTCCTTTATTTCTGCTGGGAACTGTTGTCCCATTCAAGTAAAGGGTCTTTTCTCTTCTTATCGCCATCCTAGTCTGTTATCGGTGGCATTGTTGCCCAAGAGGTTATGAAAGCTTGTACTGGTCACTTCCGACCTATTAATCAATGGTTTTACTTTGACGCCATTGAGTGTTTACCATCACCGTGGTGTAAGCGTGAAAACGGCGCAGTTCTATCGAAGGACGACTTAATTGCCCCACATGGTCGCTACGAGGGTCAGTGCAAAATATTTGGCAGGCAGTTTCAGGATAAATTAGGTGACCTCAAGTACTTTGTTGTAAGTTTTTTTGATTTCCTGAGTCCACGGTTCTAAAGGTGGGCGCTGGTGCCATCGGCTGCGAACACTTAAAGAATTTTGCCATGATGGGAATTTCTTGCCGTGAGGGTAAATTATTCATCACTGATATGGACGTTATCGAGAAATCCAACCTTAATCGGCAATTCCTTTTCCGCCCATGGGATATTGGGAAGTTCAAATCTATTATCGCTGCAGCCACCGCCAAAGTCATCAATCCTGAGGTAAGATCTCACTTTTAAGCTAACTTGTTAGCTTAAAATTATACCTCACGAGAACAAAGTGGGTCCAGAAACCGAGGCTGTGTATGATGACGCTTTCTTTGAAGCCCTGGATGGTGTCGCCAATGCCCTTGATAATATTGAGGCTCGGACCTACATAGATCGCCGTTGCGTGTATTATCGCAAGCCTCTTCTAGAATCTGGCACATTGGGCACAAAGGGTAACGTTCAAGTGGTCATTCCTCATCTCACCGAATCCTACTCATCATCTCAGGTAAGGTCATTGTCAATTACTGACGTCTACCGATCTGTTCTAGGATCCCCCAGAAAAATCGATACCAATGTGCACGTTGAAGAACTTCCCCTACCAGATTGAGCACACCCTGCAGTGGGCACGCGACACCTTTGAGGGCCTCTTTGTTCAACAGTCAAACGCTCTTCGCTCTTACACCCAGAATCCAGATGAATTTATGTCCAAAATGGGATTGACGTCTAACCAAACAATTGATATCCTGGAACCATTGAAGCTGAATCTCACTACTGCTCGCCCTAAGGACTTTGACGACTGTATTGTCTGGTCTCGCAATCTCTGGCAGGTAAGATATTGCCTCGTTAATGGTTTCACGGCAGTCAGATTTGTTAATTTACATTTCACTTTTCAGGATCTTTACTCCAATTCCATTCGTCAACTGCTTTTCAACTTCCCACCGGACCACAAAACGACCACTGGAGCTCCGTTCTGGTCCGGCACCAAGCGTTGTCCTAAGCCTCTCAAATTCGATGCAAGCAATGTAGGTAGAGCTTAGTTTATTTTCATTTTATGGGCGTGGTATTTAAATCATTTTTAATCAGCCAATGCACCTGGACTTTATTATGTCTGCTGCAAACCTGCGAGCTTTTATCTACGGTCTGCGTGGTTCTCGCGACCTCGAAGCGATTGCGAAGAAGGCTGGTGCTGTGAGAGTGCCCGAGTTTGTGCCGCGTAGCGGAGTCACTATTGAGGTTTCCGATGCTGAGATGGCTGCTCATCCTCGTGTCTTCTCACAGGACCCCAAGTTAGATGACTTGAAGAAGTCCATGCCAAAGGGTGGTATGTTGCTCCTCTTCCTTATTAGTTTCTCCTTTGTTTCCAAACCCAGCGCTGCTGTGGACTGGTTGCATTATCGCATGTAACAGCTTTAATCATGCGTGAAGTATTCGTGTCTTCTCTGCACTCACGTGGCTTGGATTACCATCACGGTACAGGCGTGCTTTTCATGCGAGCATTGTTGGGTGCCTCTAGACGACCTGCGGAAAATGAATATAAACGTGATAGAGTTTGAGAAGGATGACGACAGTAACTTCCACATGGATTTCATCACTGCGGCGAGCAATCTGCGCGCAGAAAACTACGATATTGCACCGGCGGATCGATTGAGAAGCAAGCTGATTGCCGGCAAGATCATCCCTGCTATCGCCACAACCACTAGCATTGTCTCTGGGTTGGTTGCACTCGAGCTCCTGAAGGTGGGTTTTCCTTTCTGTTACTACAGCAACCACATTTTTGTTGGAAATTTACGCGACATATTTCCCTTCTCACAGCTTGCTCAAGGTCATCGTGATTTAGAGTTGTACAAGAACACCTTTTTAAATCTTTCACTGCCCTTCTTTGGCTCCTCCGAACCAGTGCCCCCCAAGTCCTGGAAGTACTACGACAACAGCTTCACTATTTGGGATCGCTTCGAAGTTCCCGGTGGCTTGACGCTGCAGCAATTTTTAGACTATTTTAAGAACCAGCACAAATTGGAAATCACGATGCTTTCGCAGGACGTCTCCATGCTCTATTCCTTCTTCATGCCTCCAAACAAACGCAATGAGCGGCTCAAAATGCAGTAAGTACACTCTGCAATACCCTGTCGCCATAGGAAGTATGAGGTATTAAGAGGAATTGTCTTATAGGATGCCTCACTTGGTGGAGACAGTGAGCAAGAAGCGCATTCCCGCACACGTGAATGCTCTGGTGTTTGAGCTGTGTGCTACGGATTTGGACGGTGAAGATGTGGAGGTACCGTACGTCCGCTATGTTTTGGATAAGAAATCGACCAACTCGAGCTAACCAACTGTGGATGGGCGAAAATGGAGTGTGGGAGGGGTGGCTGCGTTTGTCTTCACATTTAACTGCTTTTTTCCCTTCCTTTGCTCTCTTTCCTCCTCTCATTGTTGCCCAACATTCACTTTCATTTCTTTTGCGATTTTTGACTCAGCATGAAACAGAAGGTACGTGCATACGCGTGTTTTGTAGGCTAATCATCTGAATATAAATTTAGTGCAACATTTTTCCATTCCTCTTGTTCGGTTAGTGGTGGTTCGATGTGTCTCCGTGTATCTTGCAAGAGCGTTAACACCCTTGAAAAGTCAGTTACACTTTTTTACGCCTTACGTTCCTCCCAATGGCACTCGGCTACAGTTGCCGTGTGTGTTCTCGCCTTCTACCTTGGGTTATTGGCTCACTTGAGCAGATGTGGAGCATTTCTCATTCTCGTGATTTTGGTTTGTGCTTTATTGATTGATCTATATTCCCACTTATCCTGTCAAATAGGTTGTCGCGATGGGAAGGTGAGGGAGGAAGAGGCAAGAGGAGTCGCCAGATTAATTACTTCTGACTGTTTACTAACCTTTTTGTTGTTGATTAGACTACTTTAATTAAATGCGCAATTTCAGTGTGCTTTGTGTCGGAATTGAGTGCACTTGGGCCGCTCTGTTTGTTCGCATAACGCGCACGAGAATGTTTCATTTTAAAATTGATCCTTTTTTTGTGTGGAGAAAAGCGATTAGTTTCTTCGCTTGTTGTCAAAGCCTGGTAATTGTGACAGTTCGGATAGGTAAAAGGCGAACTAGAGTGCAAAGGAATTTTGTTTTTTGTATTTATACTTGTGTTGTTTTGGTGACTGGATCATACGTACATCAACGTGGGTTGGTATTTGAATCTACTTCGGTCGGAATCAGGTCACTTTGAAAGCTCAATTTTGCGTTGGTCCTGGTATGGTCGGCAAGAAACTCAACGCGTATGCGCCAGGTGTAGTGGCAATAAACAGGCAGCTAAGGTATTAAGCCACATGAGTCATTAACGGTTTTTGTGCCTAGCAAATCGCAAAGTAGCTGCTTTCTGTTGTTTCATATGACTGGTGAGGGCAAAATGTTTATCAGTACACAGCTCCCAAAGCTTGTGTACTCGGAAGCCCTAGTACGAGGGTAGCGTACTCACGCGATGCAGTGCAGCACATTGAGTCAAGCTGTGGATTTACGCGGCCCCTTTCATCCGTGTAACTTGGTTTGTTGTTGTGATCACTTCTTCCTGAACTACTTTGAAGTGCAGATTTTTGTGATCTGAGGTCGTTTTTTTCCAGTGTTGAATGAATTACCGATTAACGTGTCTCTGTGAGGAGCCTTATTACCACATCTATCCATAAGCATTCCTTTTTGTTACCGCTGTGTGTGCGTAGGCGTCAGCACTGCAAGTCTATGCCCAATCAGATTGCACTGACTACCCGTTGAATGCTGTAACCTCGCTCTGGTCTTTCGGGGCGTGGGTGTTTCAATCTCCTCAGCACGTCACTCAACTCTTGAGGAAGGAGAGAGTCTTGTTGAATTTTAAATTGACTTGATAAGCAAGCTAGGAACTGTGGCAAGCTTCTTGAGATGTTTCATTTCGTAGAATAATCACAGTCTTACATCTGTGCTTGCCCTGAATTTAAACTTTAAGGTAACATCGACATTTTCTCTGTCCTCTTACGTTCCCTTTCTTTCCCAATTGTCAATTCTGTGTGGCATGTGACCGTAGTTTTGGGAATGAAAAATTTAAAACTTGGTCACTGCACTGCTGTTTTTAGTTCATAATCCCTTTCATGTCTTTAAATGGCTTTTTGGGGCCTTAGTGACTAATCGCCCCCGGAATGGTCAGGTCAACGAAGTCTGCATAGGTTGGAATTAATTGTGCATGAATGGATGGTCGTGGGAGGTTGCGAACGCATTTCTTCTTCACCTCAGTGCTAATTTTAAACCTGGTGATTACTAAAATTGACTCGAATTTCAAGCCCATGAAAGATACGCCGCGTCAAGTATCCACTTTCGATGGCGTCTTTTGACGTCAGCATCGATGAGCAATGCTATCGAACCTGGATTTTCAGGTTTCTTTCACTCACCTCGAGTGAATGTGCCATACTCTTTGTTCTTTGGTTATAGTAGATGTAGGATACGTTTACTTAGCGATTGATTTTCTTTTTCTTGTTTATTATCAGACTTTTTGACCAATTAACCGACAAACTGGGTTGTAAATTTAAGTATTCGCGCTCTTACTATCTTATCTTTCAGAAAACGTGTTTGTGTGCGTATGGGTGCAGTTTAGGCGAAATTTGTTGTCAGGACTTATTCAGCATTCGAATGGCAGACGACAGTTACAGTGGAGAACTGTCTGCACAGCTCGATTGGTCATCCGAAAAGACTATCCTCCGTGAAACACAATTGCTGCGCCTTTTTACGTCTCTGATGATGTCACTCTGTCCGATTTGTAAGAAGGAGAATTCGAACAACGTCATTTGGATCCTCGGGCTTTTTTCATAGTTGTTACTGTTTAAATCTTTTGGCAAAGTGGGATTACTGCTGGACCATAGTTACTACAGTGACGATTTTTTCCGAAACGACGAGTAAACATCAAACGGGGAACATTCATCTCCTCTGCTGTACTTCAATGTAGTCCACTAGATATGGTGAGCCACCCAGAGTTCGATCACTCTTTGTATTGTCGTGGTAATGTCATTCCAATGTCGTCACTCCCGTTTCATAGTTTTGTGTCCTCCCACTGAGTGATTTCGAGGCAGACGACTCCGAGATCACTTTTTTCTCCAAAGAGAAAGATTCGGAAATCGACAGCAAAGTTTTATCTCGAATTATTTATCACAGTCTTCATGTATTTAACAAAAACGTGCTCTATCTGCCGAGGACTTAAGTGTCGTCTATTTTTTAACTTGGTTGAGGATTCTCCCCAGAAACCTGTGCTTTACATTGTTGCGCGGTATCAGTGAATAGGCACGTAGGTTGCGAATTTCCGGATCCACCAATAGAGCAATGGTTGAGTTACTCCACCAGAAAAGTTAGTGTGGTTTGATACGTGATGTGATGCGTCTTGATCATGTTCGGCTACTTAAATACTTGTTTAAGTAGCGAAAATAAGGCTGTAAAGTCTGCTTAAAACCCCATCAGTGATAAAAATGTGTGCATTTCTCAAGTGAAGTTGATCTCATTTCGCTCTACTTTGGAGAAGAGTGGAGGTCAAGGAACCAATTAGCGAATTGTAATGAAGGCGGTGATTATTATTATTATATCGTAGTTTGAGGGTCATCCTATTGAAATAATTAGCGGATGGATCATGGGAAGCTTTAAATTCAAAGCTAGAATTGTATTAGTGGAAGAGTGATTTATTGCTACCAAGGTGGAATTGTACAGATGGTGACGAAACGAGAAGGCCTCGCTACTTATAAATAGGATAAGTAGTATGTAGGAGCGTTTAAGGCTGGGATACGACAGCACGGTGGGGGTAATCAAACATTCCAAAACAGAGAGTATTGCGTTTGCTAAGACGCTAAGATTTCCTCGCCTAACAGTCCAAGACAAGACAGCTTTTGGCTACACTGGCGCTTAGGTCCAGCGAAGAAAGATGAGGTGCACGAACTTATTTGCGTAGAGAAATTGTAACGGAGAATACCGTGTTTGAATTGAAGCAAACTATGCGATTTCCCCTTTTCATGGAAGAACTTTAGGAATACATTTCATTTGTTGCACAAACAATGTCAAGTATCGCTCATTTATTTTGACAAGTAAAATGTCCAAACCTCTACAACTACAGATCGCATCCATTTACCCAAATCAATGACCTCTAACTTTCATCCGCCATCCTCACGGTGGAGGCGGTGAGAAGAAGCCTATGCAGTTGATCCAAGTTCAGAAATTGCATTTACCCCAACCTAGAGTCCAATGATATGAGTTATACAGCCCGTAACCATTCGAAATCTGCTCTCTTGCAGATGATTGGTGTTTTAATTTGTGTCTGAAGGGATTTTCTTTTTCGCATTTTTCATTCACAGTAGAAACAGGGGTTGGCTCATTATTTTTGATTCTCTGATACAACAGCTATATGTAGAGAAGCAGGCAGCCTCCGAGTCGGTGAACGGAACGGTTTCACAAGATCACCACATCAATAATAATGGGGATATTAATGTAAGATTCAAACCTAGTGCAAATGGGTCTTATTTAACACTAATAGCACAAAAGAGGGCAGAACTTAAGCGAACTTTGGCATAAGTTTCAGTTAACATTATTACTATCTGTAAGCAATTATTATGTCATGCGAGGAAAGGGTTATTTCGATGTTTTTTTTACGTCTGATAGATTGTAAATGATAAGTAGGCAGTTTTTGCTTTAGTAAATTTTGACTCTGGGTCAAATCGTTAAAATGCTGCAAATTCTGCAAAACACTCGAGGGTGGTTCCCCTTACCGATCATTTACCTCTCAGATCAAATGTAAATCTGAGGAAGGGATAGTTGCTTACACCCGTTACCTTAGTTAATGGGAATTATTGACGAGGGCAGCACCGATGTCAAGGTGGCTTCAGAAAGTAGGGAATGGAGACAGGCGAGCCTAATGATGTCCTCCTCTTTCACATCACCGTAGGAGCAGTCACGACGACATGAGTACCGATGCTGACGAAGGCATCCATTAGGATATAGAGAACGGAGCTAATTCAAGTGGGCTATTAATTAGTCTCTGTCCCATCTAAACAACCCCACTTGATTAAAGCGAAGAAAGTAATCACTCCCAATGATATCTGCCCAAAAGCAGTGCATGCGATGCCAAATCAGTTTTGCTAGTCAACCGTGATTTTAACTGTGATAATGACCCCTAATGTGCTGACACCTCGACAACAATGCGCAACAGCTCAAGGCTGCCTCAGACGACCTTTTCCCCACATTTAGCTGTCACACCATAATTCTACTTTCCCGTTTGCTCCTTCTATGCAGTATCCGAATGCGAGCCATATACCACTCAGCATTTAATAAGTTATGCGTCTAACTTGTGATTCCGGACGATAACCAATGCTGGAGCAAAATTGTGCCACATACACACATCCCAAACGTGGCAATGTTTTTATTTTCATAACATTCACCCAACCATATTAATTTTACAATGATCCAGAGAGTAAGCGTAGTCGACTTAAATGTACAAAGAAGCTGAAAGGCAAAGCATAGAAAGCAGGAAGGGCTCAAGAGACGCCCGAAAGCGAGGTGTTTTTTCCTTCAGATGACCAGTAATTTAATAGCCGTGTCCCCTTAAATCCCGTCTCCACTTGACGATCTACAGAGGCAGAAAATGGGCAACCATTGGAAATTAGTTCCGATATCGATACCTAGACTTCAAAGAATAAGTAATCCTGCCTAATTTACCATCACCGGGAGGGAAGGAGCTGTTGACGCTGCCAGACGGAGTAGTAGGGGATTTTTTGGAGGCCTCAGCAATGGCCTCCGAGGTAGGTGTGTCGACCCAAACAAGGAGACGTGTTTCTGGTCGAATTCCCAGCTGGTAGAGACTGCTTGTGTTATCCGTCAATTCTATCCCCTGGAACAATAACACTTGTTGAAGTATATGGCTCTACTAATATTTTGTGTAAAAACGTCGGCCCATCAGGGGAAATGACTCACATTAAGTAGGATGTGTTGATCATACGGCGCTGCACCGACAACATTAATGAGTTGGACTCTTAAATCGATCAACTTGGTGAAACTGTTTACGCGAAGAATGCTGTCCTCCCTACTAACCCGCTTTCGCTGAGAACGTCGCACCACTGCAGTAGATGTGGAAGATGCTTCCTTCGTCGGCGACTGAACGGACGATATCGTCTAAAGTAGGAAGTTGTATGTGACTATGCATTCTAACGCAACAATTTTGTACCCATTACATCAAGACTACGCTAACTACGAATGTGGAGCTGAGAAACTCCAGCATACCTAAATTAAGTGGCATACCTCGATACACATTATTGGTGTACGAACATATTGATAAATACCCCAATATGAAAGCCATTCTTTAAAAGAGTGAAGGAGACAGCAGCAATGGTAGCTGTTGGATAGCACAAAAAACAGTAGCCATGCTACTAGCTAACCATATAAGTAGACCACGCACTTAGGAAAGTATATGGAGAAAAGGGAGTAAATGAGTGATTTAAGCAGTAAGTGGGTAATCAGCCTACCTGTTCTGCTGAAGCCGAGGATGCAAAGTTAAAAGCCAAGGCCTCAGCCGGTCCAGCCACCTGACGAATGAAAATGCGGGCAGCAACAAAATTGCATCGCCGTTGTTGTACCTGAGCGTAGCACTCATTGCAGACTTCTGGCGCGTCTACTAGGCAGAACTGCTGTTGTCTTGGCAAAACTGCCTCTTGCATCTTATAATCTTGATCCATGTCCTCCTGATTTTCACCATTTTGCAAGGCGACTAAACACAGTGGGGGATGTTCAGAGGTGGTAGAGTAGAACTGTCTCATGATATGCCATTCATGAGAGGAGAGGGGATAGACCAAGTTCTCTTCAAGAAGTTCAGTCCAGGGCATTTGAAGCTGTATTTAGTAAAAGGAATTTAGCTCTGTAGAAAGCACCACTGTTTTGGACTTTAAGACGTATGGGTTACCATCGGCGAAAGCAAATTGTTACAATTAACTCACTGTATTCAAATTTACGATAAGAGGTGTAGTGAGACTCACGCAACCATGGATACACAGCGCTCCTGGCGCCTCGAGACCAGAGGGTAGTTCTGATGGAGGCGCGACAACGGCAGGCAATCGCAGATAACGACGCCATTGATGTATAAATTCTGTTGGAACTAGGTAGATGAATCGGTCATCTTCACTGGCTTCTGTCAAGCTCTCTCTAGCAGGAAAAAATAACCAATGAACGAATTTATGATACTTAGTATAGCACTAAAGAAACAAATGTTAAGGTGAATATCTGTACACAATTTGAAATGGGTTATTCATAATAGTAAAAGTAGATTGGCACCTGTACGTCGTATCACCCAAATGACGACATGAGGTGATCACAATTCCACTACAAAGCCTACCTAACATTGGTGATTAGCCCATCCAGCTGCCTTTGTGAAGACCCGGAAGTAAGAGCTGTTATGATTCCCGACAAAGCCCCTCTTTCTTTCTGCGCTCTAGCGAGTAAATTTTCCTTGACATCGGCACACTGGAGACAAGGCGAAAGGTCACAACGATCGCTGGGATATTCCGGCATAGTTACAGTTGTGGTAGTGTTGGGAATAGTGAATAGTGCTACCATTCGATGCCATAGGGAAGGTGGAAGACAACGAATGTTGTCCACCAATAAGTGATTGTGTGGACACACGGCATCTTTGTTGAACTCTGTGGTAGGAGGAGGAGAAGGAGCTTTAGCAGCAGTTGAAAAGAACGTCTGCGCAAAAGACCGCCAATTAGCGAATGACTTCGATCCGAGAAAATACACGCGTGGCGGGGAGGCGAGCTGCAAAAAAAAACATTTCCACTGAATTTATTTGAGTAAATAAGTCGCGTTTGCAATAATGACCTACGATTTGACCTTCGTATGCCGCGGACTCAGCACCGGGGACGAGAGGCCAGACCCCACCTTTGCTGGCACGGCGCCATCTACTAATCTCTTTGGTGAGAGCATTGCATTCCTCGTTGAAGCCTTTCACCGCCACTCGCCATCGGAGACAATCGATGCAGGGAGAGAGAGCTGCAGCCGCCTCTACTGAGGTAAAAGGCGAGGAAATGGAGTTAGGAGCAACCACTTCGCCACAATCAAGATCCAGAGAAAGGTTGAAGCACCGAGACAACCCGGACCGCGATACTGCTCTAATGTGCTGTAGGTGGACATTTGGAGAGATACGATTGTGTGTACAGAATATCGGCAGGGTGCCAGTGAATTGACGAGCTTCAACAAAGACAGCTTTATCTTGGGGTGGAAAGTATAACTGGGGAGGTGGGAGTTGAGGCTTGTTAAGCCACTCCGCGAGCCACCATGTCGGAACTATGCAAATGTCGTCGAGATCACCACCAGTGGAGCTTTCATCATCGGAATCGTCACTAACTAAATTTACGACGTTAGAAGTGCAGTTGACATCACCACCATTGCTGTCAAAGGAAGAATTCGGCTTTCGGCGCTTGCATGGAAGTGATTTTTTCCCCTTGACAGTGCGAAGATTTTCAAGGATGTAGCGTCGTAGAATCAGCTGACCAAGCGTCTGTTGTTTCTGTTCAATCTGAAGGGACAAAGTTAGGCACATACTCCGTTGATAACTTATAGGAATTCAGGAACGCTCAAGGAGACCTGTCTAATGCACGTACCCAGGTTAAGCCGAAACTTCGGAGAATAATAAAGGGAGAAACAGCATGAAATGCGCTCAAACTATTCATAGAAGTAACTGCCGCAAATGCCTGAATCGACACTGGTGTAGAAGCACATGGACGACAGTTATACTGAAGAATATGCAACATTAGAAGTCTTGTGAAAACTATCCATCTATTCGCGTTTTGTGCGCATTTCATGTTCACAAGAAACGCCATGTACTACTTACTTGACTTGAACCCTACTTGTATTCATACATTTATTAAGAACTTCTAGCATGGTTGCCATTTACACTTCCAGAATGCTTCAGAGATACCTTAAAGAGTGCCTTAGAAAATACCTCTACCAAATCCAGCTAAACCCAAACAAGACAGATTTATCTGACCAAAACTGGCAACAGGGTTGATGAGCACAGAGAAAAAGGGATGATTAGAGAAGAGGGAGAAAACACCTTCTTTAGACGCTTGTTTAAATTCTCCATCGTAAAAGCCACATTACTCGCATCGACGACTCGACGAAGGTGATCTGGTACATCGATCTCCATCGCAGTCCCTGAAAAAAAAACAATAAAAACCAATACAATCCCCCAAATCTACGATATGCACAACTTATCTAACTTGGTCACATGTTGGAACAAATGTAAGCAGAACCCCATACAATTGCGTTCAACCAAGGGTGCCATGAGTGGTACAACGTGTTTAAACGTTAATGAAGGTTATAAATGAGGTCATTACAAAGATAGTTTTCAAGATACAATGTTTCGGGTCGTAATCAAGGCATAAGATAATGTTCCAAAACTTTCGAAATTTTCTCCTATTTCACAATAACTTTGCGGATCCTCACCCTTCAGCACATGGGCATACCCGAGCACGGGGTACAGAAGGCAGGGCGTGAAGTAACTTGGAATAGAAATCAGTTTGAGGGTGACCACCTATGCGGAATCAAGAAGCCCTTTCTCATGTTAATTCAATTATGGTCTTCCGCCTTTTGTACGCCATTTATCTCTCCTAGTTGGAGTAAGTGGAAACCACTATCATTGATGCGTAACTCCGATCTCATCCATCAATTTTGACAAGCTGCCACTCTCAAGTCCATTTTGAACATGTAAGGCGGACCCAACTCGACCAGCACAAATGAGGTCGATATGTGATGCAAAAACAGCTGCGGAGTTCGCAGGTCAACAAGGGCATGAAATATCGCAGGTTTCAACAAGTTACTAGAGACCAGTGCCGAAGAATGCAGGAACAACACGTGCAGTCATATAACAAACATGACAAATGCAAGGTTTGAGGAATTATGCTCCGTATGAAGAAGAGTTACAAAAACACTGATTTGAATATTTCTTCAAGAAAAACCCACCCTCACTATTTGCCGGTGCGTCATCAGTTTCAATTAGACGATAGAATACCATATACGCCGAGGGCGAGACATGGTAAACATTATCACCGTCTACATTGGTAGTGTTCACATTTTCTACTGTATCGCTCTCGACATTCATTGCCGCCAATTTGCTCGATGAAGAGGCAGGCTTCTTTGGAGTAGAACGAACGCTTGTAGCACTGGTAGCAGCAGCATTCACTTTCGAAAGGTCGAATTCATCTACAGGAACCGTGAAGACCTACACAGATGTAGAGCAAATATAACTTACACGGCTAACAGCCCCAGCTCTTTATTCTTTTGCATTAACAACTCGTCACCTTTTTGTATGCCGATAAGAGAGCCCCAAAACGGGAGATCTGATCACCTGTTCAGAGGTGAATGAAGGATACTCAAAGCCGACCCTACGCCAGGCGGACGTTTACAGGTCTGTGCATTTAACACCACTTTGACCTAGTATGCTTACAAACGACTGCGAGTGAACCTCCTCCTCCTTCCTCCTCACCCTGCACACAAATTTTCGCACACCTGCATACAGCACAGAGGACAATAGCGAAAAATGAGAGCAACACCCCTATGCATCATGTAGGTCACTTGACTTCTGCAAACGAGTTCACGCCAAACGCGCATACCAGTGAAGGAAAACGTGCTCTCTGCATCCGTTATGGCAGAGATGCAAAAAACAGACCCCACTTCCCAGTACACAAGGCATAGAAAACACAGTGGGTACTTCGGCCTAGGATATTGATGTTCAAAAAGAGGGACCACACAAACAACCAACCCCAACTAGGCGTAAACCCTCAGGAGTTCTCAAGGCCTATCCAACAAAGAGCTCCTTAGAATTAGTTATTTCGAATGAACCAAATGAGACATTACTAGCCTTGAATGAAAAGCAGTAAGCTCCACTAGAAACCCTCAGGAGTTCAGTTTTCCAAATAAAGTAAAAGAAGTATAAAATTACCCGCTCATCGTTGCAGACCTTCCACAAATCCTTGTCAACATCGGAACAGCGTACCACAGCGATGTAGTGTCCAGAAGTTGAATAGCGTCCCAGGTGTAGAAGAACACCAGAGCAACGATAAAGAAAACGTTTCTTTACACCACCCTCAGGCGAGTTTGATGGATGTTCTACAATGTCAAGTTTAAAAATGTAAAGTATGGACCGAAAAGTAGTGAAATGATAAAAGCCGTAGGGTTGAAACCCCTAACATAAGTGGATAACGATTTGGTGTCCCCTTGTCCGAATTGTTTCGAGTAGATGATTATCAACGATACAAGTGCAGAAGATAAACCCTCCTGACAAACAAAAAACAAAAATGAGACCCTACTCTTATATGTACAAGCTAACACAAAATCATTCTAACCAAAAGAGTAACATAGGCATCTTGAATGCCAAAGAATTATTGCATCACCTCACACTGATACTTTTGCGATATTTTGTAGAGACATCATTACTTTTCGGTTTCGGATAATCACATGCAGAATAGAGTCGAGGAAATTCGTTTGAAGACGACCGAGAATAGTGAGCGAGAATGAAGTCCCAACAACAGAAGCAGTAAGACGCCAATAAAGCAAAGGACAGATTTTTCCGTTATTCGGGGTGTAAGCTTTGTGCAAGATGAAGTAAAGCGCTTGGAATAGATACAAGGATCTTGCAAATTAATAAAAATCCAAATAAAAAGTTGGTTGGTCAACCGAAGGTCAACAACGTTTGCGTAAACCAATTAAATTTCGATGAGAAAGTGTTTTCAGAAATTGCCACCAACGATTCGCGCTGTTAGCTTGAAAGAATTCACGAGAAATGCAAAGTAATACCCAGTCAAAAGAGCTCGGTGAGAAGTTTCATCAGAGGCGTCTTTTTTGTAATTGGAAATCCACAACGCTGGGTAGAAAACAATATCCATTTAGGTCGCCTAAAGTTATCACAGTGACGTGAAGATCACATCCTACAACAGTAGTCGCCAAACAATTCGAGACGAGTAAGCAGGATTAAGAATTCCTAACTAGCTCCTTTTTCAAAAGGAGGCAGTGGGAGACAGCCGATAGTGCCAGTAAGACAACTCTGGTGTTTCTCACAAAGTGCTCGCATTCCCAGTCACTTCGAGGCATGGTTAGCTATTATGAGTGCAAAAATGCTTAACTTATCCGAACACCACTTAACAATTGACAGTTGTGAACACAAATGCTTCGAATTTAAACACTATCGGACTAGGTGGACGGATAGGGGAATGAAATATCCGAGTCGGATTGAGCAAACCAACAAGTCTTCCTTTTGTCATGCATAAGCCCGAGAACCATGTGAAAAGTATGTCAACGCCCATATTGAGTAAATTGCCTAAAAGTCTGAGTGAGATTGATATGCCTCTCTTTTAGATCTTGCATTCTTTACTAAAATAACAAATGCCCTTCATAAGCAAATATTCACTAACCCGGAGATATGTAGGGCCCCATATCAAGAAGATCAGGAAGACGAACCGGAGCCGCCTGTTTCACTCGCCGACCGAGACGCTGATCATAATTAAAGCGGAGGAGCTGGATGCACAGCATCAGTGGTGTCGCCGTGATGCGTACTCGTCGCGACCCGTCCCGCTTCATGGCGCACTGCGGACAGGCGTATTGATTGTCACCTGTTAGTTCCTCCTCCTACAACCATCACCGACAGGTGGAGGTAGAGCAATGTCATTGCGCGGTGGCGATTAGTCAAGTCAGATTGGATGGAACCGTTGCTTGTATGCATTCGCGGTGAAGATAATGTGAGTTATAAATTGATCACCTGATGTAATGACTAGCAGACAAAAACGTACAGCAAGATATTTCTGGATATATTCTTCAAGACAACCGGTGGAGACTTTGATATCGAGCTCCAGAAATTGTGAGGGAAGTCGGGACACGAATCCGCATGTCTGACAGCTGAAAACAATGTAAGGAGAGATGGTCTCAACTTCTGGTGACAATGGAATGGTAAAGAGCGGAAGGTCCGAATTTACCGAGTCTCATAGACACAAGATCCCTGAAAAAGATTGCGAATAGCTGTTTGCCCGACGGAGGAAAAGCGAGTCTCGAGGAGGCTCATAAAGAGACTATGGAATTCTGGTGCATCCTAGTTTTCAAGAGGAAAAAAAGAAAGTTTAGTGAGTTAGAATCACTAAAAAGAGTAATGTAGAGGTCAGGTCAAAGGAAAAGCAGACATTGTCATGATACACTGCTTGACCACTTCAGCATAAGCACAACAACGTTCGACGACCTGGAAGAATCGCGCAGAATTTTCAAGACTAGTCCACTACACATCTATGATCTAACTCACGTTTTATGGAACTTATACGGGCTTATGTTTCCTCCGAGAAATTAGCTTAATTTTCTTGCAAAACTGCAGATTCTTGTCCTACACCTTATTGCGATAGGATACACCAACAGGACACGCTTTTGAAGAGACTATTGCGGCAACAACTAAGCCAAAGAGGGGTGCACGGGGCGTCATTACAGGCTAAAGCAATCGCTAATTAACATGCCAAGAACGACAGACCCCCCCCAAAAAAAATACCTATTCAAGATACACATCACTTCATTCCATGTAGTCCACACTGTTTTTCTTTTATTTATAGGGTCAAATGTGAAACAATTGGATTTTTGTAACCTTGAAAAAGAATTCGAACATTAAAACAACCCAGAGATCCTGACATTGGACTCTGTGACAATAATCCACCGGCTCCTTTGAATATTTAAACCGCTGTCTCCAATACTCGATCAGATTTAGCCAATCAAATCGGCCGGAAGATAGAGGAATGACTCCTACCTGTTGGTCACGCTCTGAGAGATGCAAAGCTTCAATCAAACCTCCGGGATCAACAAGGCTAAAGGAAACAGGGAGAATATTGGTGTAATCGTGGATCAAGGGAACGGACTTGCTTAAACCAATCGACCACTCACCCCTCACGACTGAGCTGCATTTGGCTGAAGATCAGCTGCAGCTGCTCGATTACGCCCTCTGGAGAGGATTCTACAGAGCAGAAAGTATAGTGAATTTGAGACCTCAAATTTTACCCATGACAAAAACGAACAAAACCTAACCAGCCACAAACACATGCACCCTTTCTAGGTGTCTAAGCCACCAAGGTGGACTCGTATTTGATGGCAAGATGTCGATTTACTCCATTAAAATGTCTTTTTCAGCCAGACACCCAGTAGCCAAGCCCAAAAAAGATAGAATGTTTGTTGAGTTGAATTGCACCTTTGTAGTATCACTTCTCTACCGTCAGGGGGTTACTTTCCCCACTGTCCCCAATTGTCTACTGCATACACACGTTTGTAAGCACACGGCTACCACAATTCTTACAAGTATGTATGGTATTCTAGCAACCACTGTCCGCTCTAGCTAACCATTCATTGAGCTTCACAGACAAAATGCACAAATTTTCCGCTGGATTCGAAAGACGTTTGCCCAACTGTAATGGCAACCAGGATAACTGAAACAAGTAAATGATCTGGGTCCACACAAGCATATAGGAGCGTTGGAAATGAAAATTAAAATACAAAGGATTGTAGATCACTAACCTAAAGTAAAGTTCATTACTGTGAAAACCTACGGAATGCCTGGAAATTACGAGTCGTGGTTAACACTCATGATGCGTTTTCACAAGAATGTGGTACGTCAGTTAAACAGGAGGATAAAGAGAAACTCACGATCATAAGGTAGTTGGTAGATAGCTTGTCGAAGTTCAGCAAAGTGAAAATAGATCTGAAGGAATGCATTGAGGTAGCAAGTACTTCCGTAGTTTCTAAGACCGCTGCGATTCTGTCAAGCCAGAAAGGACCAATATTCAAAATGGGTGAAGTTCTGGACAGAAAAGGAATAACGGTTCGTAACCATACCAAAACGATGTCATTTACGTTATCTAAGCATTCGTCAATATCTTCTGGCGCGATAGTAAGCTCTTCTGAGTCGACGATGTGGTTCAGGCATCGTGTATTTCCTTTACACATGGAACTATGAATACAGACACAAAAGCAGGTGATTTCCTTAAACGTGTCTTAATGATATTCGGAAAATGTCTAAGTCGATAATGAAAAGATTTCATCCAATAGAGCAAGAAGCAGAATATGATAGGAGACAGAATGTCGCCTGAAGTAAACAAATCGGTTTGCTGCCATAATTCGGTGATAACGTGGATGGGAACGGTCAAAAATGAATCCGGAAACTCAAATATACCTAGAGTAGGCCACAAAAATAACATACCTTGCGAGGGACCGGCACAGATGGAGCAATGATGGTAGTAAAATGAAAACACACAGATATACACAGCTATAACTTATTGTCTGAAATTGATAGACCATCAATTTTGTAACTGCCCACACAAGACTTCTCAGAAATGGCAGGACATAATGGTTCTAATGCGAATTGTAAGTCCAAACCAGTAAATTCACAAGTACAATAAAGCACACCTACCGGCAAGAGTCGAGTGAGCATGCTTTGAGCTCCAGACGGTAAAACTTCTCCAAATGAGATAAAGTAACCTCATTCGGACTACTGAGTTGCGACAAGCGTTCCCATCTCCTATCAGATTTCCGCCCCATAATTCGCCTTTCGGTTAGCCGAACAATTCTAGCCTACACAAGGCGAGATTTCAAAACATCCAATCAAAGTTCGCATTGTTTCATGATGAGAGGCCCAGGACTCGTGCAACCTTGAACCACCACAACATTTAAAATAATGCAAGTCAGTATTTCTTAAAGCAATAGTAATTATTCTTTGAACATCGCCTAGTAATTTACGCATAAAATCTTAGGATCCGCGAAGTTATCTAAATCAGGAGTTCGGCCTGTCAAACTAGGTGTGATTGCATCAGAAGAAGAGTGCTAATTTAGCTGATTCTAAGGGTACTGCTTAACGTCAAACTGTATGCCACCGTAAACAGCGCAGAGTGCCACAGCAGTAAATGTTAGTCACCTGCGTTCTATACATCTCAGCCGATATTTGATTGGAACAACTTTGATGCATCCTTGGCATTTAAAATGCCATGTGGCACCTAAACTTTGGTTTCAAAAATTTATAAGTGTGGCCAAAGGGGAGGTGTTTGCGAAGTTGGACGTATTCCCACGCATTTTTACAAAATACGGTATTAATACGGTATTAATTTGGTATTGCTTTGTCACACTACGCGGATTCGAGTTTTCGGACAGGTAAGTGAGGAGATATTATAGGTTTTGATTATTCACATCTTCTTACATTTACGGTATCTTAACCGCAGCATCCCGAGGCTTCCCATGGGGCAGAAGAAGGCATAAGTGAGATTGAACACAAGTCAAATGGGGCATGAGGGTGGCCCGAAGGCCACCCCACGTGTACAGGAGCCAGACAAATTCTAAAGTGACCGCCAAACGTCCGGTAGTCACTGTAATATATGCTAGTTTACATAAGTACACTTTTGTAGATGAAAGGCGAGGGCCAACCGTGAACGAGAATCACGTGCAGGAACTCGGCGAGGAGCTCCCTCTGATTGATATCCCAACTCTGCTTATCTGTATCACATTTCCATCCTTCCTAATAGCTATGCTTAATAAAGCCTCTGCAACCAACAACCTCTTGAAATCTGAGCACCAAGGACCAGAGGGGAAATATGTGGTCCTAACACTGGTGTCAGCGTCGGTCGACATCCCTCCCTTCAAAGAAGGCACTGATTTCGACGACTGGCTTTTCTTTACAAAGGTAGATCTCGAACTCTACGATCCTGCTTGGCGATTGCCATTACTACTTCGAGTCTTGCCCTATGACCTACGTCGGGAAGCAATGGATGCGGGTGTCTCTTTCCTTAGATATGTAAGACTGCTGTAAGGTCCTTGTCAAATCGACATCCCTCCAGAAGGAAGAGTTTTTGGCTTCAGACTTTTCCCATCGGCTACAAAAACCGGGAGAAAGTGATGAATACTGTGGGGAATCTCCAGGCATTAGCCAAACAGGCATTCAAGGATCGCTGTCCTCTGCGAGTTGCCTCGTGGATAGCGGCCTAGTTCAAAAGGGATGTGCGTCCACCTATTTTGGCAAAACAACTGGTGCAGATGATGACTAACAGATTGGGCCGCCTAATCGATGCGACACTAGCTAAGCGACAAGGGTTACAACTCTCAATCGAGTACAAGGCACGCATTCGCCCGTGGACTCCAAACAAACTGCCTACTGGCGAACAAAAGTGTGCGCTCCGAAGCGCCCCCTGAACGCAGAATCAGACACAGTTCTCTTTGTCTTGTCTAACTCCCTTGCGATGTTCTACTTTTATGCGTGTACGAGGCAAGCTAGAAGGTCACAAATGCTTATTTCTTTTGGACTCAGGAGCAGCCCGTTCCCTAATAAATCCACAGGCTTTCTCCGTGATATACACCAAGGCCAAAATTACCCCACCAGCTACTAGACTACGCTCTGCAGAAGGAAAAGAAATTTCGGTAATAGGAGAAGCACCTATCAGAGCTTCAATCGGGAATGACAGCTAAGAGGTAAATTTCGTGCTGTGCCCGGAACTAGCCTGGGGTGTACTGTTAGGTCTCGACTTTTTACGCCAGTCCCGAGCGGTTATGAGCTTCGATACAGACATGCTCACAACCCACCGATGGTCCAAGAAGAAGTTTGGTCTCTAAACCAAGGAAAGACGCCGATGAAATATGCAAATCCCTTTTCGTTACCCTTGCCATTCCCGGGACAGATCGAAACAACCTCTACGCTCAACTAAAACAGATTACTGAAGCTGAGAGGAAGGAACTGCACTCACTCCTGAAGCATTACTCACAAATGTTCTCATGGTAGGGAGCGAAACTCGGACGAACGAACATAATCAAACACAGAATCGATACGGGCGAGGGCAAACCGGTCTGGCAGCCCCGAGACGCATACCTCCACCCCTCCAAGACGAAGTACATCGATTAATGGACGAGATGTTGCGCTATAAATTCATCAGGCCTTCCCAGTCACCCTGGCCCTCCCCCATCGCATTAATTAAAGAGTGACGGCTGCCTACGTCTATGCGTCGATTATAGGAGGCTCAATGCAGTAACAAAGAAGGATTAAAATGTGATACAGATGAGCAGAGTTGGGAATATCAATCAGAGGGGGGATCCTCGCCGAGTTCCTGCACGTGATTTGCGTTCACGACTGGTCCTCACCTCTCACCTACAAAAGTCCACTTAAACAAACTAGTATATATTACAGCCACATAAACAAATCATTACATTAGCTTCGAAGCTAATTCGTCAATCTGAAAGCCGGAGTTAGAGGAGGGAATGACTGTTGACCCTTAAAACCTTAAAACACTGGTCTAAGACAGAATGCGTAACAAAAAAAAGTCGATCGAACTCGGTACCGTAAGGAAGGAATATGGCGCAATTTCATCGCCACCACTCATACGTCGATGTGGTAAGGCAAATTTCGAAACCATGCTCTCTTAAATGTTTCATGATGGTGGCGCTTTAGTTGTTAATAGCTTGCTGGCGGAACACGGGAATGGAGTGGCAACCAATGTCAGACGCCGTTGTCGACCTTCCTATTGTGTTGAAGTTAAATGTTCTCTAGCAAGAAGCACATACTCTTCGTTCTCAGCGTAAAAGTTAGTCACAAACAGTGGGAACCGAGACAGAAGTGGTGACAGAGTCTAGTTAGACTTTCTTTGCCACTGGTGCATCGACACTTATCCTCTGAGAGTAAAGATAATTGCTAGTCTTCAACGAGAATAAATAAGGTAGCCCGTAGTTGTATCTCCTCGATTTCCCACTCAGTAGAAGAAGGTGTTAGGTTGGACCGGAATCTCGCTTCCATTCCTTCTCTTTTCATACAACTCTTGTTTTATCGTCACTATCATCGGACTCCTTTCTGACTGGGTTCTTAGGTAGCGAGCTTTATTGGGCATCATGGTACAGGCACAGGGATGTATAGAAGGCGAGAGAGGAGATATCCGTTCAAACTGATGGTTGTGTATGTTAGCTTCTCGACCACTAAGATCGAAATTCAATTCCTACCTCTCGTCTGCTGGGCGCACTTTAAACAACTAATGTCTACTTTAGCAGCCTTCCGAGTACGCCTCACATACGATGAGAATTGTCGGGGTGCTATGTTGAGGATATTTGCACTTAGCAATGCATTAAAGCAGTCACCAATCATACAGGTAGGAAAATAGGCAGGGTTTTATATTGCTGATCTACTCTTTTGAGTGACGGTTTCAGCGATTCCCTTGATACACTTCCCAACAGCAATCACAACATCTTTAGAATGGCAACAAGTCATCAACGAGCTTGCAATGCTCGTGTGCACTTGAGGGATGGCACTAACTTCTCAGCAGCTTTCCCTAAATCTGCACTTACGTTTTATTTGAAGACGAGAATATGAGTACGTATTCTATTAATCATAACTTGTGTCGGGACCACATGTTGCTTCTCGAGACTTCCTAGCCAGTATAAGAAGTCAGAAAGTGAAGCTGGATACATGTATTCCGAAGACGACAGGGCAAATGGGCCTGGACATGGTCCGAAGGCCAGTTCACATGTACAAGGTGACCGCCAAACATCAGGTAGTCACATAAACAAGGCATTACACCGCACTTATAAATACTGATACAAAAGGGTGTACGTAATACATGCAGAGTTGTTGTTTAGGTGCACCTTTTAAATTAGGAGCAAGTTGTAAAGCTGAGCGTTACGCAAGAGGAGTCGGGTTTCAAGTCGCATTTTCTTTTTATTCTGTATTTATAGTAAAATCTGTTCAGTGGCAAATAGGGCCTTCGTGAGCAAACTTTTTCTGAAGCTAGGTCTGAAAGTCAGTCAGATTATGGCGATGGTGAGACTACAATTGGTGACAAGACATAGGGCTCAAGCACATTCCCGTATGCGAATGTATTCAGCGTGGTGTCATCCCCGACATTTATACGCGGGATTAGAAAGACCTCCGATTCAAGAATATTTCAAATGGCCCGCGGTGATGTCTCTTCATTTGTTAATAGCTTACCTATGGGACCGAGGAATGGAGTGGAGTTGCACTCAGAAATGCGATTCTCAAACATTTAGTGGTGAAGAATCTAGAGAATCTCCGTCCCAAAGTAAAAATGCATTTGTCGGACTGCAAAAGTGTGTTACAAACGGTGGACATCAGAATATTAGACAAAGTGTTGGATTCACTTTCGGCGTCATAGATATAATACCACACGGTTTCCGTTCGACAAAAGAAGGCATTTAGTAAAGCTAACTACATGTATATAGGAGGAAAGTGGGGGATTAGACTTTGCTTTGATCTGAGGGTAAGTCTACTTGTACAAGCTCAATGTAAATGCCAATGTGGTTGACAGTCACACAGGTAGTCAAATAAACACGCATCACAGGCAACAGTTCGCAGCATATCTTCAGATGTTTTCGGGTGCCGAAATGCGTACTTTAGGGAATATCAATACAGTCATAGAGGACAACAGACACGAATGCGTAAATAGCAAGCTCATCTGACAGAAGCAAGGTGGAAGCTGATGAACCTGCTTGTAATGCATACTAAGGTGCTTAATTTGCTTTCATAGGGAGAGGTGCAATGCTTTGTTTGTGTGACTGCCTAACATTCGGCAGTCGCTTTAAGAGTCGTCTAACTTCTGTACGTGCGGGCTGGCCTTCGGACCATGCTCACACCCAGTCGCTGGATAGTCTCGGGACGCTACAATGAGGTTAGGCAATTCGAACACGCGTCTTGTTTGTGGGGCACGCAAAGGCACAAATGCAGGGCGAAGTTAAGTCCTGTCTAATCACCATTCGCCTCTTCTTTTTTGTACAAGATGCCAAATATATTTACTCAGCCAACTCCTTTATGAAGCTAGAGGTTCAAGGCAAAATGTTTGTTACATTAAGTTTTAATTATTGCTGATTAAAGGAATACTTTTTGAGATAAAAATCGCGCAATTTTTTAAAGCCATGCTTTATGTTCGTCGTTCCCTCAATAGCACACGAATTTTTTGTTATGTTTTTCTAACGTAGCCTTGAAGGGCGAAGACCCCAATATAAAACGTGTTGAGGCTGGGCAGTATGTTGATTTTATGTTTGTTCGTGATTCTTAAGCTTTTTCTGGGCACATGGAGGATTCGAGTATATGTGTTGTTGTCAAAAACGTGCAGCTGAATCAAACACACTACCTCTATAATGTCGACAAGTCGACTCATTTTCACGACTTGTTAGTGAGTTACTGCAGAAATTGTCACATGGACTTTACGAGTTCCGTGTTTCTTATTCCCTGTGAGGGCTTTTATGCACGCGAACTTTCTTGGAAAGTCGCTCCTCCGTCAATGCGATTGTCGGAGTGTATCTCTGGCGCAGAGAAGTATTTCTTTCGCGATTCGATATTTACACCTGAAGAATCCCGCATTCATGTGCAGTGTGTCCTCAAACAAGATGTTTCGAAATTTGTTTCCTGGAACAACTGCATGTCAATAAAGTACTCGAAGTCTCCCAACGTTCATTCTGCAGTAACCAAGTTGACAATGCCTCATAGCATCAGTAGAGTAAGGTTTATGTATTTTTATATCCCACCCATCTCTTTGTATTTAGCAATCTGACCGCGTTTTGAAACTGCTTCGTGTAGATCTCTTGGTAGTATTGATTATCATACACTTGTATTTCACACTGTTTATGTTTAAGTATTTGAACTTGCGTCCTATGTCTGATTGTGAGATAATTGTTTCATTGTTCCACTTTTAGAAAGCAAAAAGAGCTCCTCTTCCACCTTCTTCCAGATTAGACCGATTTCATAAGGGCTCCTGCACATCTGATGATTTAACTAAAATCAACCTACGCGATAGTGCGACAAGCATGGAGAACGACGGTATTAATGGCGAAATTTCATTATGGAAAATGGGAATCAGATGAAGGGTTTATGTTCTGGTTTAAGCTATTGCATCTGATTTAGCCTTAATAGCAAATTGATACTTAAGTTTGGACCTTGTGAGATAAATCAAGTCACTACCAAACAAGCCGCTAGCGATGGATCTGTTGTTTTTTTATCCCGTGTTGGGTAGTCAATCATGTTGGTGTACAAATTGTCCATTGAGCTTTATTTTCTGTCTCTGCCGGCCCTCTCATGGCGTGGTTTTGAGAGACCTCTTGTACACCCTAGATAATCTTGGACAGGGAATCTCTCAGAGTAGCTCTCGGTGGAGCATATACGATGATCGCTTATTGACAGGCTCATTCTCATCGATAACTATAAAATCAAGGGAAAGTTCTTTTGAAGAATCTTCCATTCCAGAAAGTTTCTTTACAACGAGAGCAATAACGCCGTTCTTGGTCAGGAGTGAATTTGGTTCCAGCTCTCAGTTAGTGAAGTCTCGAAGAGGTTTGATTTGCTTTTTGGTGCTTAAAGTTTAACGGCGATGTTTTTTAAATGATAGGACCGTGTGACTGACGAAATTAGCTGACGAGTTATAGTTTTTTCTCAAAAACAGCGTTGTCGTCTTTTTTATGCAGGCTCTTAAAATCTTCTAAACACATAACATAAGGAAAGTAAAGTTTGTACATTTTTGATGAGGATTTAAGAGTGTTACTTTTTGACTGTTTATAGCACCAAGTCCGCCCTCTGTAACGATGGTAAACGAAGTTGTATCCCCTGGTACGAGGCAAAGCTTGTCCAACTATGGTAAGCTGTTTTACTGTAGTCGTTGTGCTCAATAATGTCCAACCACATGAATAATTGGAATTTGAGGTAATGCTAAGAATGCTTTGGCTGGAGTGAGTTATTGCGGCGCAATGACTTTGATTCATTTAATCGACCTCCCTTTTTTTCCAAGAAAATCCGGTCGATGAGGATGATATTGGACTACAGGATACAACTCGGGGTACGTTTATCCACCGTTAGAATTAGTCTATTTACCTACCGGTGACCCAGCTGAATAAAAAATTAGTTGACAAGGTAGGTTAGCACTAGTGCCCTAAGATTACTTGTCAATCACAAGTAGGTTGATATCTCTAAATGGACAATTCTGAGAAGACATGCATGAAGGAAAATATTTTGTGAAAGTGAGTTTCCTCGTTCCACAGAATCTTTAGTCGTAGTATTTGGTTGTGAAAAATGCTAAAGGCACTTCTAAGCTTTGTAAATTCATAAGGAAGAAGTTGCCCTCGAGCCATCTCCGACTTCGAAATGGGCATCTGCGAAGATGCAGGCAGTTTAGTTCTACCAGCTCCACTCAACATCACTACAGGGCTGGTGCAGGCAGTGTGACAAGATAATATTGTTACCATGGCTTCACACGCCCTAGTCAACCAAGACCCAATCTATTTATGTATGTTTTGTACTTAGACCTGACAACCTCACGACCCGGTTAGCGAGTGGGCGTTTCAGACACAAAGGTGGTCATTTGGATCTCCTTTGTCTTGATAATAATAGCAATTGCACTTTGTGATTTTTTGCTTTTAAGACATTTCACCTGTCAATTCTGCACAGGAAAGAGCTCCTCCAGACGCTCCCCATCACCCTTCATCTATCTCAACATCAACACCGGCGCCGACAACACAAATAGTAGGTTAGCTTTTTCTGTTAAACAATATGCGAATGACCTTTAAGGTGATCAGTAGAATGGTCTCTCCGGTTTAGTGGGAGGGGAATTTGCAGTCCAACTTATTCTCTAGAATTCACTGAGTCACTCAAAGGAAAATCCTCACCTCAAGTTTCACTCAGGTGCGAGTATTGCGTACTTTCGTTCCTGAGGTCAGACCAGAGGCGAAAAACGAGAATAAGTTTGGACTTGAATAGTCACCCGTGGAGTTTGGCTGTCAACGCAATGATATCTTTTTTCCACAAGGGTAAAAGCAACTCCAGAATTTGGATGTTAGGGAAGAAATTGTGTAGTGCTTCCTCTTCCATTGGTCTACTCTTAAAATCCTGACTAATCACCCCAATCGAATCAGTCAGTCGGTCAATGTATCTGCGTGAGTCTGTGTGACTGTTGGATGTGTGTTGGGGCTCAGTAAGTGAGTGAATAGGGGCTTTTTACGAAAAGGACATTATAGACACTTTCGTCACGATTACAAACAATCTTGGTGAGAAGGCTATCAATAATTCAAGTTGGCTCGCAGAGGATACATTGCACGGTCCCCATGCTTTGATAACACCTTCAGTGACCTCTATAGTGATAGTATTGAATTTTGATGGTCCTCTTGGACGACTTCGAGGACACCAACTCCGTAGACCTGTGAACATGGCACCATGCTATCATACGATTATTTAGACATCGATCCGGCCGAGTGTCAAGGCGTCCAAGGTAGGTCCTACGTTCGACTTGACAGACGACCATCTGAAGCGGGCTCGAGCCACCCTCAAAACGGTTCCACCGCGAAGACTCACCTCGCTGCCTCTGAGAAGCACCTGCGAGGAGAATCGGTCCATCTTTCTCTCCAATTGCGGTAACAGAGCCAGTGTTCACCATTTTTCTGCATGTGTGCCGCCCTGATTACTGATCCTCTCCTTCCAGACCGATCGGAGGAGAGAGATTGGAATTCCCGATTTTGGTGGATGCATAGGCACCGAGAGCTCAATTTTATGATGGCCAAGGAGTGACAATGCATCAACATCTACTTTGATAAATTTTTTTTTAAGGGGTGATGGACAAATAAAAAAATGCCGTTTCAGATCAAAGCCATTTTTCTTGCATTGAGCCATACAGTCTTTCTCTTTTCTCGTGCTCTTTAAATTAATGCGTCTAGAGGTCAAGTATGGTTAGCGAATGCTATTTCAAGCCGATTCTATTCAGTATTCTAAAAAGACCTTAGCTCCCCAAAGAATGCATCAAGCGTTTGAGGAACCCAGGGCACATGACTGAAGCAAGTCGAGGCGTTGGAGTCATTGCACGAGGTGCACAATCCACGGGAGCTTCAGAGCAGCACTCAAGCACCAAAATCCCCTTTTTTCCATTTACGAGACTGGCTACGACTCACTGATTTCAACTTGGCACCAACACGGGACGAGACAATCATAGCAGACACCCGCTCATTTTGAGACATTAAAGTTACCGGAGGCTAGACCTCAAAACACCCTGAGTCACTCACACAGCAACTCCACCTTATGTACGGTCATCAAGGGCCAAGAGCTTTCTCCGTATCCACTGTGCGCACACCCAATGAGACCGCCGGTCTGTAAATTATTGTTGTTGTGATCCCTCCCACGCGCTAGCTATTGACAGGAATGCTAGACCACCCTACTGGAGGCACAAGTGCTACCTTGGAGGAGTATCACTAAGGCAATTGTTGGTAATGAGCTACACAAACAATGCTGTTTTAGACAGGCCTACTCCATGCCTGTGTGCCACGTACTGGCAAGCAAGGTGCCGACACCCCCCACCTCATAACATTGACTCCGTCCGATCTGAATACACCTTATGGCTCGGTTAGAGAAGGTCGAAGCATGAACAAAGTAGATACAAAAGACAAGGATGCATAAATGGAGTCAACAGCATCGACGACGAGGTGAATAAAAATAGGAACACACTCTGGTTGGAAACTCTGAGTTCTCCTTTATCACCTGTTTCGTTCTTTGGCAACAAAAAGAGTAGGAGAAAGAAAAGAAAGACGACAAAGGCATCACGACAGCAAATGAGTAAGGAAATAATAATATTGATAATAACCATGGAGGTGGGACGCTAATTGTGGTCGTGGTGTTTTGCCTGATGTTATGGATGTTGGGAGGATGATTGACCGGAGTCCAAAGCTGCACGCATACTGCTTACGAGACGACGCACTGAAGTGGCAAATGTCGAGGCTCCTGAGGTACCCTTCTCACCTAAGATCAAAGGAACGAATGGAAAGACGAGTGCCTATTTAGTGGGATTACTTTTGCCTCTCCTCAAGTGGGTTAGACAAGTGTGCTTTCGAAGTGCCAATTAAAGAAATAAATGAGAGAAATTTGTGGTTAGAGAACCTTTGGATTCACATGGAGCCCTCGTGTTTTTGCATCATTTTGTACTTGATTAGCACAGCAAGGTCAGGGCCATTATGACATCACTTGCATTACCACACGAAATTGAAAGCTAAAATGACCCTTAAGGACCTGTTCCACCCCTTTCCCTCCTCCTCTTCACTCTCCACTCACTCACTCACTTGGATAATAAAAGACCACAAATCAAACACTCACACTCACACGACAAAGTAGATGTTAGACATGAATGACAGGCAACAAAAGTGATGACATGGGGCCGAGTTTGAGAACGAACAACTACCTTCGGTGAAAAATGGGGACTTTTACTCGCCTAGCCTCTAAAATAAAAGCACAACAATATCGGATCATTTAGGGGGAAAAGTGCTTAGCGAAACCTGGTGGTCTGAAGAAAAAGCAAATATAAACAACCACACTTCCTATGTAAAACAAAAAACAAATTTTGTGCAACTTTAACCGTCCCCACAACGGTATCCAATATTGCAAAAGCTAATCATCCTATGCATTGGGGAGTAGGAAGAAAAATACATATGATTAAGGGATTTTCGCAACTGCTTTTCAAAGCAAGCACACGGATGGAGAGTTGCATAGAACAGAACGCCAATGTAGGACAGAAACACTTTTTCCTCCAAAATCGGAGTTTTGAGCAATTTCACATCAAAACCATACAAAAGCAGTAATTTGCAATCACTTCAACCAGAAAAGCCAACAAATACGACTAATTGGTGTACAAACAAACACACACGCACGTGCAATTCGCAAGGCAAAAGCAGGCAAAATTACTTGGTAAGCCGGTTTGAGGAAGGAAAGTCTGCAACAAATGGAAGGATAAGAAGTAAAGGATTAGGCACGAGTGCAAAAAAAGGAAGGACGATGACTGTTTTAATAAAAAACAAAGCAACTTACTGCTTAATTTCATCAATCCACTAACCCACTGATTCATCATCCTGCGCCCGTGGTCTGCGGCCAAATTACCAAACCTGCGCAAAAGTGAACAAAATTACATCTACTGAATCAGCTTATCAGTATCGTATAACGCGTCAGGTATGGGGCCTTAGTGATGATCGCCTGTCTATGGGCAAACAAACAAAACAACATATTTTTGCCTTTTTCGAGCACAATGGGACCATTGAACTGTTAACGAAACCTAAAGATCAAATTGTATGAAGTGAGTTGCCTTGAAACTCGATGAACATGTAGGGTTTGTAAAGCCTCTGGCAAAAATGACAAAACAGGCCAGAGGCTTTCAGCCTAGTTCAACCGAACCGCCACCTACCACTCGCCTAAGAAGTCAACCTTGAATGTACCCCCTGCAGTGACTAAGAGAAGGGAACAATGAACTTCGATTATCACCTCCAATGACGCAGTTGATTTAGAACAGAGGCTTTGCCAGATACTGACCATACGAGAAGTTTTGAAGCGTTGGAAGTAAAACTCCACTTTCCTTCCCAAATGCGTCATTGCTCTACTGTGACAGGGCACAGATGTGAAGAATACCCGATTCATCAAATCTAGTGACAATACGCTTAAGCTTCTACAGTGTTGTCTTTAACAGTGCTTCCTTATGTGTAGCACTCACAAGCAGCGATTCTAACACATTGGTGACACAAGAGCGCTCAACAAATTCATGCCGACATGCGAAGAACCAACACGCGCCAGTAAATGTGTAAAGCAGCCTTGACAGCACTCTGATACCTTCCTAACTCCCTAAGTCGTCAATAGCATCAAAGAAAACTGATATTCGATAACCGCAATGTTAGAGCATACCACTCACGACTCAAGAAACTCATTTCATAGAAGCCTGAACTCGAGAATCAATGTTTCGTCCATCTCCACGTGTAGACATGAACTTATCATTCAAAGATTTGCGACCTACTGTTTAAGATTGCTGACGATTTGATCCGCCGATTCGGAGGAGGGAAAATTTTTGCCCGGATGGCTAAGTGGACAGGCGATCGCGTAGGCCGCCTTTGACGACGACACAGCGGTTGCACCAGTGGTCTGTGAAGACAAGTACACTGATAATGAAAATTTTTTCGAAAAGGTGGTGATACAGTTACACGAATGTTTGCAACTGGGATCAGTAGTCGTGTAGCTGTCCTGAAGACCTTACCTTATATGCTGTCAAGGTAAAAATTCAGATGGTGGTCATAATAAAGCAACTACTTTCTTCATTCAAGGTAGAATTCATGGGTCAAGTATGTATCTCAATGTGTGAGGCTCCAATATAATTGAAGGCGATACATTTATCTCCAGACATGGCCTTAATCGGCTTCTCTACGACATCAGCAATGCTAACACATCTGTAGAAGTCAGTTCTCAACGTTGTCTAAACAGGCAAAGAAAAGGAATTTCGACCCACCAGAACGCCACTCATTTCACAAATGTGCAGCATCCAAGACACAGCACTGCCTCCATAAACGGAGCCAGTAATTTAAACAGATCAACTAAGAAGGCGACATGATAAGATCGAAGTTGAACGTATTAAGCGATAGCCTGATGAAAGATCAGTCAACCAAGTGTCACTCCGATGCTTTGGTAGCTCTAAACACTACTCTACCTTTTTTCACCCCTTCCTTTCTTGCTCCAGCCATGCAATCAAGCAATTCGGAGGCAGTGACAATGAGATGAGACATGTAGTCCAGCAGTGCTGACGAATTGAGGACGAGTTCTGCAAGGTTTAATAGGCCAACATGCATCCCTTGGAAGCTCCACGATAACTGACAAGAAGTTGGTACGCAAGTGGGTTAGCTTGGTTCTATCAACCTTAGAGTAGATGACAGTATAGAGACCCTGTTAGAGATTGGATTGGAGAGAGAGGATTTGGTTGACTCTGTCACGTGCACTTCTACCGCTTGATTGAACTTAAGGATTTAAAGTGGAGCTAACATGATACCAGCCAATCAGAAGGGACGATGCGAGAGAATAAGCCTCCGGATGTGTAAAGCATTTATGAAATTGTGTTGACGACAACGAAAATCCTTCTCTTCTCAAGAACGTAAAAGCAGTTGATTGGAGTTTGGAGACCTCTGTGTCCGACCAACCAAAACCAACCATTCTCAGCACATTTATTTTCCACCTTCCTCTAGCGTATAAAGTTCCAATTTTGCAGTTACTTTCAATGGACTGAAAGTCTCTAAAGTGGAAGAGCTTCCCTCTGCCAACTCGGCAGTTTCATAAAGCGCTGCGCACCACATTCCAAGAAGAAAAGCAACATTCCAATCACTGAGGTCGCTCCTTCGAAGCAGTTGCCCAACTAGTGTCAAGACTGAAACTCTCAAAATTCTCAAAGCTTAGGGAAAAAAGCTCCGCCAAAAGTTATGGGAAATACAAATTTAACCCGTTTTTGTGTCCAATACCATTGTAACTGCCACGATCGGTAGTTGCATTATGTAAAGGCGATGACATTGCCAGATGTTCTTGACGGGATGGAAGAAAAAGGCAACAACCAAAACAATGCAACTTTAAAAGTGCTTCATAAGTCCGCCGAGACAATAATGTTTGACCCTTCTATCTGCCTGAAACCTAACTGACTGGCCTGTCACCGACCAAGAGTTCAGCATGGTTCACATCTACTACAGTACCGAAGTCACTCCAGAAGCTTTGAATCGATTCATAGACAATTCTACAAGAAACACATTATAGCAACAGCGAAAATTTACATAGAAGATGGAAAGCTAGATGAAAAGCTTGCAAAATTCAGGCTAATAGTCTGCTTTGGTCCAACTTCAATGGGAAAAATAAGAAACCAGAGCACTCAACTCAAAGACAAGCTAGATTGAAACTACAGACAGGAACACAGATGGTACCATAACGGAGGTCATTGATGAGGGAATGCCTTACCAACACTTTCTGAGCGCCTTCAGCCCCATCTTTCAGACATTCCACAGACACCGCAACAGCCTGTTGCGAAATCTCTTTCGCAGCCTCCTCCTCCTCCTTCTGTTGGTTCAATATCTGGTTCATCACCGAGGGCACAACCAACTGACTGCGCCAGGCTAGAAAAGCGTGAGTTGTGCGAAAGCACGCGATGTAGTTGAGATTGAAGTCTCCCAGTTGGCTGCCTTCAAAATAAAAATGCAGGACGTTAACATGAGCGACATCAGTGACAAAGACCAGCACTGCCGACATTTAAAACAAAATAAAGGAAACTAAAGGTTTATATCAGGTGGATCAAAGTTCACTACTTCGGAAATGAGCCTAATATAACCACCATGGTGCCTAGGATACTGATGTCGGAGTTCCATGCTATTAACTAAAGGTTCCATTTGAATGCTTGAATAGCATTTTGCAAGTAGGGAAAGAGGCTATTTATAGCTCACCTCTGCCCTCGGCAGTGAGTAATAATGACTTGATGTAGACGCCAAATTGAGCTCGAATCCACTTTTCCAGATCAGCCAATTCTGTAATAGTGAAACGGTCTCAAAGATTCTTCCCCCTTCGCAGGGAGAGAGCGAAGCGTTAATTATCACATACCCGGAAATCTTGTCCGGATCTCAGCTTCAATCGTTTCTCGTGAACCTATCTCTTCAACAGGCACAGAGCTCAAGTCCTTAGCAGCTCTTGCAGCATACCACATTTCCGCTGTGTTTACCAGATGATCGATGAAGATTCGGTCCAGTCTACTGAGTTGAACAGCCCGTCCTATAGGAACGGGGAGGTCCCGCAGTCTACCACCAGGCTCTGTGGATGGTGGACACAGACGAATTGTAGCCGCCTGCCGATTCTGCAATCAAGAGGAAGGAGAATGGTATGTCAATGCATTCAGAGAGAACAGCTTACCAGGAGTCGGGAAAAGACCCCGCTTGTCCGAACATTGGAGTGAGCGTCAGACAAAGAGGGTCGCGAAGTCGGTTCACTAACTTCCAGTTCAGTATCCCCAGAGGATTCAAGGTGTACCTCGGATGTGGCTTCCGGGGTGGATGTGCCAACAGTTTCAGAAGGAAAGGGGAGAGTGTTCACGATAACCTCTGCGAGACGTGTATTCTGACTTAAAAGAGGATTTGTGGTTCCACAAAGAAAGCCACGAACGCGTCTCCCGCCTATTTCCAAGGCGTTTGCAGCTACGTCGCCTGGCGGATGTCGATGCTCCAGCAACATATCCACGGTGTGAAGTGGAACGTAAGGAAGGAAGAGGTAGGACTACAACACGAAAAACTTGTGAAGTTATTTGTGCGGATGCAATCATCGTTGAGTACAGAAAGTTCGGAGGAGAATACTTCCTTTCAGCTAATTAGCGAAGAAAATTAAGGTGCACTGGGGAGAGCGATCACAAACTTTCAACGCATGAAGATGTTCATCTAAACTCGGCTGCACAAACAAAAAAAATGGACTCTTGAAAATAAGGTCTAACCCAGCTCAAGTTTCAAGTTAATGACAGAGTCTGAAAACTAAGGTTGAGAAACGTTAATGAAGGATATTAACATTTAACATTGTATCATTCTTAGGAATGAAGGAAAAAGAGGGACTTCTATATGCCCTGTGTTGATAATAACTAGTCGTACCCGTGAGAAAAGCGCTAAGGGAAGTCCCCAATCATCCGTAGGCAATGGGGAATCGAAGACAGAGCCATCAGTGAGCGGTGGCAGCATGGCGTAAGCATCTGAAATGGGTAGCTGTGGAGGCGAAGGCTGTAGTTGTGACGAGAGGGACGGAGGCTCAGTGCCAACCTCACCCCCACCGCCAACCCGCGTCGAAAACACGGAAGCCGTTTTGGTGACGTTGGACCAGAGATTTGTGGCACCCATGCGCAGCGCTGCAACACGAGTCAGACCACCACCACTACCAGAAGTCGGGGATTGAGCTGCTTGTAGAGATAAAAAAAGCAATGGAAATTCCCTTTTCCTATAAAACCAATACCAATAGGGGCTATTTTCACGAGGAGAGCATACAATATCTAGCCGATGGCTGATTTCAACATGAGAAAAATGGGAGCATTCACAGGAGAGATGGGATTGTTTTTGGTCCATGAAAAAAGTAACGTGAGGAAGAATCGTTTTTACATTTCCTACTTTTGCACTGAAAAGGGCTGCCACATCGAGAGCAAATGACCGCATGTCAGCATTTTTTTCATTGTGACAAATTCAGGTATTTGCTAGAATAAGACAAACTAATGAGATCGGTAAGATTGCAATGGATGTGCTTGTTTAAGGCGTCAAAAAGGAAATCCGTGTATGCGCACATTCCGTAACTAGAGGCATTGGGTCTTGAACAAGCGAGGAAACGAAAGAATAGTGAGCCCAAGGTCGCATTTGGAGAGAACTCAAAGAAAAGTCATAAAAACACCAGTGGAAGAGAGCATAAAGAGAGGGTTTACAACATTATGTTATTGGCCAGACTTACGACATTCAGCCGAGGTAGAAAGAGCGTCTTCTCCCTAAAATAGCAGTCAAAATAGTTAGGAGAGGTGACAACTTCGATCAAACCATAAACCCAAACAAGATAAGCAATCCAAAATCAACTTAGTGCGAGTGGCATGAAGTAGTCGAGTACTCCAATGGTTCTATTCATCAGAGGCTAGCTGTGTAGTTAAAACTAATAAGGGTGCATCCAGTTAATAACTTCAGGCTGGCGAATTCCATCAGCCAGCTGTGATTCCCAAGCAGCACATGAGTACTGTGGACGTCAACTCTATCTGTCTCTACCTATGCTAATTGTGTCCAAGTCCATCCATCGCAGTCGTCTTTCAGGGTGCTACCTTGCAAGGTTGGATACACACTTCCATCCGCCATCTTGGAAAATCTCAGACGTCATACCATACGGCATAATACCCAATCATCTGTAGTCCTTGTCCAATGAGACAGACCCTATTATAGCCAATTTCACCCAAATGAAATCCGCTTGCTCCACAAATCAAGAACACCCTCCATTTACCCCCACTCCATGCCTATTTCTCAAACACCAATCTATCTGCTTCGCACTCATGAGTTTCACAAAGTTAAGTTCCTCATTATACTTTGGCAAGCTACTAGAAACCCACTACTGTTAGCGAGAATAAAAGAACTGGGTGAATGAGGTGCAATCGCAGTTGAACGGCCGATCACTACAATCACAAGTTTGCATCCAATTAACTGCAGGTAGTGCGTTCCACCACTGCATTTAACAACTTCTCAAAGTATCGCTCAATAGATGCCGAGAGGAGCTTCTGTAGCTTCGTTTACCTCGTGGAGCTTGTGTTCTCAAATCACATTCCTTGGGTGAAATGAGTATTTTATGGTATGAGGTCGCAAAACAAGGACAGCAACAGAGGTCATTGTGCCAACAGATCGGCGCATGCCAGAACCTTATAAATTATGCATTTGAGCAATAGCTGTCATTACGGAGGACATAACAGCTAAGTTGACTGTTTTAGAAGCTGAGCCCGACTGCCGTGTATACATATTGCTCCTTTCGGGAAATTTTTGTCTCACAAAAACTAATCACTCACTCCCAGAGAAGCAGCATCATCATTGGATTGTGGTACAGTGACGGAAGTATCGTCTATCACAGATGTGGCGATAGAAGAGCGTGAAAGAGTCGCAAGGGGCCAACAGGCTCTCTCATCTACCCACGACTCATCTATGATTGCGCAGGTCGAGAGACCACCGAGGAGCATTCCTAAAACAAGGCTACCAACGATAAGGACTATCCCTCTCCCAAATCATGGACAGAAGATCTTGACATCTGCCCTACTGGATGAAGTAACTGACCTGGAATGAGACTGATAAGCGTGAGCAGCCACGTAGACATGCACTGGACGGTGGTTTCACAGGTGAAGAGAATTTTTCGTTCTAGGAGTAGGATTTTCAACAAAACCAAGGACTCGCGCTGGTAGGCTCGTACAAATGAGACTGCACTGAGACCCCGCAGTACTTCAGCTTTTGGAACAAAAAGGCAAAAGGTAGAAGACGTGCATTAAAACAAGCTTTCATCTTACTTTTTATTGCTAGAGTCTGCTGGAGAAAGAAAGGAGAAGGATAAAGAGAATCAATGAAATTCTACAAACAAAATTCATGCCAGAAGGAGAGGTGGGGGTATATGAAATTGAGCTCTTTAATACCATAAATAAAGTAACCAATCGCCGGCGGCTCATCCTGGATGCCATTCCAGTGATGTTTGAAAATCACAACCAAATAAAAGAAAAAATTTCGGCATAAATAGGACAATCGAAAGAGACAGATATCTGCAAATAAAGGAGGCAAAAAGGAGATTTACAAGATATATTTCTCAAAGGAAGAAAGAGAGTTCTTCAAACAGGAGACACGCTAACATCTTGGAGTGGAGAGTGGAACAGGAACTTATACAGACTATTAATATCCATGAAAGACAATATGTGGGGAGAGTTTCGTCACTCCGGTCGGTTTCCTATTTTATTTTGAGATCTCATCACATAAAACATCAGATGAATCCTATAAAAGTGGCTGAATGTGAAACAGCTTTCCTACGAGTTATCGGCTCAGCAAAATCCTTGAGTGCTCAAGAGTACTTGGGAGGAACCTCTTAACAAACATTCAGAACCAGTAATTTGGTCAGACCGTGATTTTTTTGTTAACAAAAAATACCGATAATGTAATGTGGACATTAGCATGGAAGGGATGTAATTCCTCTACCACCATTGCTTCTGCTCTCACTTTCATTATGTAGAGATTAGAGGGACGATATGGACAGATAATCGGATTAGAAATTGGCGTGAAAATGGATAAAGGAGGAAAGGAGTGTTCCTGGACACTCATCTGGGAAAAAATAATCACGGCTTATTGCTGCGGCTCTTATTACAACTGCAAGGCAATTCTGAGTCATTCATACTTAGCCATAGGTATCAGTGATGAAATCGGAACTCTAGCATCCTTCTCATACAGAAACCAAGTTACTATAACTCAGAACTGCAGAGCAAGGAAACCTTCTACCATAAAGCCCTCCCACATGAAGGTCCAGCTTAACTTTCGCCTATGTTGAGCAGTAAGACCAGAAAGAAACAGTTTCTCTAGAGTGTCAATCAAGCCAAGGCCTAATTAAATAATGGACTGCGTTGGAACTCATTGCTCTATCTCCTCTTACAAGACTTAAGATCCCTTGACTTAATCGCTACTAATTGCAACAACATTAAAGCATTTGCTAGATCCTTCCTCAAGGTTTAATTTCAGACGTTCATTTTAAGATCGCGTTGATCAGGTTCTCAGATTTACACCACGAAAACGACGATTAACTAGTTAATGAGGCACATTCGACTAAAGTATTACTCAACGTACACCAATGCTTTTCTAGTCAAACAGAACTATTTCAAGAGTTCGCCACCGTTTATTGCTGTGCGTAAGCATAGAAAGAGTATTAATTAAAGCAAAAATAAAGAACAGCTTACTTTCGCACAATGTTGAGCAAATAGCTCTATCCACAGCAAGTTTGATATCAAAAAATCCTCTCAGAAGAAGTTCATAACCATCTTTGCTCGAAGGAGCAGCAATAAATGCGTCCGTAATGTCATCCAAAAGATTAAATACGAGACCAAACAAAGGCTGTAAGAAAATTTCAAAAGAGTGTCCCCTAACCTCAACAATAAATTTCGGAGAACAGAGATCAAACAGAGACCTACAGCATGAGATAAGAAGACCACACTCTTTTGTACCGTATTTCGTGTCAAATCCGGTGTTCGGTTAGAGAAATCCTAAAGGAAAGGTTGGAACACGCTTTCAACAGGAAAAGCGAGAAGTAAAATAAAGTAAACAGGTCGATATTACTTTGGCATCAATTTGTCGGTAACAGGCAACACCGAACAATGTCGTGGGTTTTGGCTCCAGAGAAGGTACAGTAAAGAATATAGAATCTAGGAGAAAAGTGATACCTTTGAAGAGGCAAACCTCTATCAAAATTGTGAGCGCCATCTGGAAGTGCTGTAGGTGGAATGCAGGCCCAAGCCGAAGGAAGATCAATGCCGGTCTCCAGTTCTGGGTAGACATATTCCACAGAAGTGCCCTTCTTGTGATGAAAACCAATCACCAGGACATAACTACTCATAGCATTGGAACCTGTGCGATAAATAAAGATATGGTAAGCATAAATAATTCTAACTTCCAAATGATGTTAGCCATGGATAGTTGTCAGTAGCTCTAGTAGGCGTCAGAGTACTTGACGAAATAACACCTTAACAATAAAAGTTGGAGAGTAAGTCGATGCGATCTGGGAGTTCATGATATTGCAATTTAAGAAATAACATGATGCAAAGATGAGTATAATAGACCAGGTCGAACAGATAGCCCAAAATACGAACAAAATGAGGGAACATAAATGTAGAATTAATAGTGCAGACAAATTTCAAAGGCTTCGGTTTCAAAAAAATTAGATGAGAACTACTCAGGCAAAACCAACATCAATGTATGTAATAAAGCATAACACCCTACAGATGAACACCCCAGCACAAAATACTGCTTGAATTGTTTCACAGCAAAATCGAGGAGACGCGAAATTGAGTCAAAGAGGAAGAAATAGCTGCAAATTAAAAGCGCCATCTAGAAGTTCATAATTGTAATGTATCTCCAAAACATATGATAGGGTTTAAAGTTTTAAATTGTATGATGGATCGGTGACCCCACATTGACGATTCAGACCATATTTAACTAACCAAAATTAATGCAGAAATATTGAAGAAGCGTATGAAAGGGAAACCTAACTATGTATATAAGAAGGGCATTATTTATCAAGCTTAGGTTGACCATAAGAATTTTGTTGCGTAAAACATGTTGCACTTTCATTATTCGCTCGAATTTGCAGTGCACTAGCAAAGACGCAATAGGAACCACACTTGCCGTCATGCGATTTCACAAAGGCGGAGAGTTACGCTGACGACTTAAACAAATAATCTTAAGCATTAATACAAATATTATAATTTTTAAACATATGATAGACGTCAAAAGTGGTAGTGTTAAAATATATTGTACATTTCTGTTACATTTACAAAGAATTTTCTATTCCGACTAATCGTTTTTCTTATGTTCCGAATTGCTAAAATATCTTTTTATTGACTTAATTAAGTTACATCTTTTCATTCTTTCCCTACTGGAAATTTCAAGCCATACATTTCCTTTAACATCCCTACGTAATCTACACTGTTTCTTAAACTGTGCATTTCAGAGAAGGTGGAGGAAGTCAATTCTAACTTAGCGCAGGTGGCGCTTGGCGATCCTCCTTTAAAACAGCAAAGATATGCGGTTTTGCGCCCACACATTCTGCCTGTACATTCTTTGGGGTTTTTATGTACCATCTTTAACCTACCACCCTCTACAAAGACTGAAATAAAGGATTTGGGAGGGATGGTAAATGTGATGCCAGAGGTGTCTTTTTAGGCAGTAGAACGCACTGGTAATGATTAAATACTTTTAATTTAAAAGAAGAGGAAGATGTGGTTCTTAAGCCTAATCAGAAATTGGGCCCATTTATTCACATGTATTGAACACTAAAGCGATCGTTTCCCATCTAATTAATCGAAGTACCAGACTTTTTCACTCTTTCCAGAACAATGTTCAGGCACCCTTACAGGGTTCTAACGAACATGATAGATAAGTTCCCTCATTGGCAGCGGGAGCAGGTTCAGGACAAACTCAGCCGTCAAGCTTCTGAAGTGTAGGCCGCACACGGAAAGGCTTCATAGTTAGCACTGCCACAACACCCCGCCCGTCATATTTTGCAGACTTTCGCACGCTGCCTTTTGCTGCCGTTGAATCAAACAGCAACTTCTATTGCACCTGCGTCATGCACACGCCCCAACACACAACCCACACTTTCGTTATTCACTAAACCCATTCTAACAGTATCGATGGCACCGTCGTCGTATTAACTACGAATTATTATGATTGGGGTGTGCATTTCTCTCACTTCACCAAAACGCCTCTTCGAAATCTAGAGAAGCGCGATTGGACGACGTAATTTCGCCGACTCTGCAACAAGCCCTCCCCGACTGCAGAAATTTTACGAGGCCAAATAACGAGAACGGCCAACGCGGCACTAAGGCATTATTCCGTTGAACCTGTGATGAAGTGAAATGTTAGGAAATAGATTGTTGATTTTGCTCCCCCTCCGGATCTCAAAAAATTCGAGAATCTGTCAGTTGACAAGCGACTGTACTGACCGCTTTGTTTATAAAACGTGCTAAGACACGTGGAGCTACTTCGAACGCACCGGTCCAATGGATGGTCCAAGTGTAGTGCATTATCTCGCCGCATTCGGGCAAGTAGATCCTCCCTCTCCCAATAATAGTTTGGTAACCGTTTCTCGTGCCAGCTGATCTAAAACCGGCCCATCTACAAAATAACTAATTCGAATATCTGAGTCAAAAAGATGCAATGTTTGAAGTAGGAAAAGCTCGCAATGATGCCAGAAGGAGCAATCGTTGGCACCGGATCAGAAGAGACCAGTCGGACTCCCATCCAGGAAGTGCTAAAGCCAAAAAAATCAAATCTGTGAAACTTAAACCATTACTCATGCCATCCGTGCTCGTCTCTATTTGGCTATTTCGTCCGTCACTCACAGTGTTGGGCGGCGCCTCCACGACAATACCCTTGAAGATGCTTCTGTATTCCTCCAAGTGCTGTCGGTTCATGTAATTACTCTGGTCAAAGAGCGTCAATTTTTCCAATACCGGGAACCAAGTCCTATAACCTCCCTTAGTCTCCATCAATATGGCGGTCAGAAATTCCGTGTAGATGTAGACGACAAGGTGCTTTAAATTAGGATAGCTTTGCGGAAAGTTGTGACGTGTATACCACGAGAGGAGTTGATCGTTACGTGGTGGGTTAGAGCTGTCTCTGTCTCGCAGAGTGATGCTACTAGCATTGAGAGCGAGTTTCAGAAGTTTTGCCAGCGGTGTACTATTGATTGATAGCTTTGGAATGATTAAGACGTCCAGCGACTTGAGACGAGGAAGTGGAGGGATAGGGTCCGTTAAAATTGGAGTATTTCCGGCCCAGGAGGTGTGTGATTCGGTGGGAAAGAAGTGGGTCTGTTGCAGAGATGCTGACACGCTTTCAAGGTATTGAAATGCCACCACCATTTGACCAGAAAAAAGGGCATTGAAATCGCTGATTGAAAGAACAATGGCACGTAGATCCATGGAAACAAGATTTAAGGACACTGAACCGGTAAATCTAAGAGAGTTAAGAATCCCCACAAAGAGACCGAAGCCCCTTTCATCTCGTACAAGTAGATTGGATTTCTCTTCTGAGTTGGTCAACTGCCTTGTAATTTTGAGACGGTTTTCCTCAGACCCCTGAGCTAAAATCACGGGAGTTGCTTCCAGACCTCGCCAAGTAGGAAAGACTTGGAGACAACTCCAGCGGTCCGCAATTTGGAGGTGCTTCAAGATATGGACGCCAACTGATCTTTGTGCCAAAACTTGCAACTGGAGTAACAAAAGGAAGGTGATTTTCCATTCAGGTTAGGGACTAGGTGGGTAGGTGGAGGCACTGTCATAAAGACATGCGACAATGAGCAAAACAAAGCGATCGATAATCGTTCCAATGTCTGAGTGCAATGGTGTCAACAATAGGCTCACTTGATTCCTAGCCATCGATTTCCAGCCAATCACTGAAAATGTCTAAGACTAGGCAACAGACATGGGAGGTAAAAAAAGTTGGGAGAAAAGTGCATAACATACCTCACTCGAAGATTCGCTCATAGCCTTCGAAGAGGAGAGGAAGCAGGACAGTGCAGCGCAGTCAACTGAGCCACGACGAACCACCTCCATCGCCACATAGTGTGCAATAACTAGGCTTGTACAAGTGAAAAGTTGTCATATCTGACCAACCAGAAGGGAGGCGAGTTTCGTGTTGAACCAATAGTCAGACTCGAGACGGCGCCACGTATGCACGGCACGCAAAGGGCGGAATTACGTACCCGTGTGTGTGTGTGTGTATGCATTACCTCGTGACAGGGCAAGAGAAAAGGAGGAAACGTGTCTGGCAGTCGGACAACAACCAAAATACCAGTGATATTTTGCATTCCACAACTGATCTTACCGAACAAGATATCAAGAACAACCCCGGAAGGTCCCAAAATCTCCTGCATGAATAAAATTAAATTATAGGAATTAAAACGCACAACTTAGAATCGTTGCGAGCCCACAAGAAGTAAAGCCACCTAAGCTTTCCATACACGTGCATACATACGTCTATTTGAAACAATGGACCAATTAGGCACAAAAAATAGATTATTTTGTACAACAGCCTCAGCCGTCCATAAAAACTCTTCCACCATTGGAGTAGGCAGACTTGCCAGTCTTGGACAATAGCACATGCTCCCGTCGAAAGTTTGTTCGGTTTGTCTTCTTGATTCGCTGCCGTTCTCGTTTCTGAGCCTTTAGAGCGGCTTTGCGAGCTCGCTTCTCTTCAGTTGTCTCACCCTTTATCCGACGATGAAGGTTCACCTCGGCTGACATTTCCGACTCATAATCACTCCCTTTTTCACTTTCTAAGGACGAATTAACATCCTCAACCTCAGTCTTTGCCGGTTTGGAACTCGACTTGAGTTTGGGCATAGCAAGAACTTCTGGCTCTTTCGATACTTCACCGCCCATTGCTAGAAAATTATGAAGGCATAGATTAACCACTTCAAGGAACTTTAAGGCAACTCAATAAAAAGCATGCTCATACCCTCACCTTGGTAATTGGTGGTAATCGTGGCCATAGTAACCCTTTCCTTACCCACCCAGTCCTTCAGTGGATCTCCTTCAGGCTCTAACATTTCGTCCAAACGACTAAGCGTCGCTACTCTAAGATGGTCATCCAGAGAGTCCAAGTCAATGGTTTTGGGATGCCTTGACAGCGTAAAAAGATACTAGCATGGCTTAATCTAATGTGGGCAGAAAGTATTTTTGAAACGCATTATTACCGTTTTGATATCATTATCTCATCTGCCCGGACGGCTGACTGCAAGTTTTCACTGATGACAGAGGTGCCGGACATGGCTGAATGAAAGTCAAAGCCGCTCCTTGATTTTGTCACTTGCATTAGCTACAGTAGGAATGAAAGCAGTATAAAGGCACATGATTATAGGAGGAAGAATCAATTACCTTGCCAAACTGTTTTTCGAGGAGCTCTTCTCCATCGGTGAGCGGACGACCTTTTCTTGCGGTGGAAACAGCAACAGGATTTTGATGAGTGGATATCCCGTATGGATCTTCCATGGGAAACTCTTCGACTTCTGCACCCCATAAATAGCGCTCCATCAAGCGTATTTTGTGAAGAGGTAGATTAGCGGTTGAAGGAGTAGGTTTCACGTCTCTAATTTCGTAGCTATCCCTGGCCGTGTCATCATCGCCGCTATCCTCGTCATTCAGGCGTACGCGCTTGCCACCAGCCAATTCGACAAAATTGTCCTCCAATTCATCTCCGTCTGTCGTCATCTCATCATCTGAAGGAATTTCAAATTCCTCATCCACTGGATCATCAGAAACGACCATTTCAACAGCAGGAGGGGCATAATTATCAGGAATCACGGCATCTTCTTCGTTTTCAATTACCTGGAGCAAATTTTAAACTACCTATAGTCTCAACTAACAAGTGTTAATAAGTCGCATTTACCAAAAAGAACAATACCATGTATCATTCATCCTATGTACAAATCGTCACAATCAAAAAGGAGTATGATAAGCCGAAACTAGCTGGCAGAATATATGAGTATTCGCTTACATAGTTTGGATCCTGGACGAACTCTTTCATTGACTTCATGTGCTTCATGTAATCATACCCATCGTCAAAAAACACACCGTAGTTATAGCATTCCGGGACATCTGTCATAAGTTTTTCACCAAACACCTCATTATTTATTCTTTTTGCACCACAGAGATTGTTTTGGGACAAATTTTTATCTGCCTAAAAGGGGAAATGATGAAAACGGCAGAACAACCTCCATCAGAGCTAGTCACATGCCGAAGGCCGCTTCGAATTCGTTGCGATTCGAAGATACTTATTTAAACCAATGCTTACAATACAGAGTTAATTATCGTGGCCACATTTGATGAGCAATCGATAATAAGACGACGTTCATGGCTTGCTTGCATTCTTTAACTCCTACTTTGGTGCTAACTGTGTTTCATCATGTTACTATTTTAGTAATGTCCAGCTGCTCGACATTCACTCATTGATTGTTTTCTGGTATTTAGGAGCAGCATATCACTACTACCATATATCACTGCCATATCACTGTTCATACCCATCTCAAAGCCCGACTGTGAGCTATCATCAAGAGGAACGTAACAAAGTTTTTGCTCTAAAAGGGGACTGAACTTGTAATTGGGAAGCATAATGCATTAAGCATGACTGTATACTTGCCTTCGGAGAGAAAGAGAAGATGTATTCTTTTTTATTAACCTAAAGGCCTGTTCATTCGCTCAAGAGAAAGGTGAACATCTAAGTGATGGCCGGCAATTTAGGTAGTTAAATAAACATCATTACTAGCTCCTCCTCATTTTTAGTCTCGTGGGAGACAAGACATTCATGAGGTTGTTTAAGTCGGCCCATAGTTTTATTATAAGCAAAACGTTTTGCGGTATCCTTAAAGTGAGCCGATTCTGAATGCGGGTGTCGAGAATACCCTGCACTCTAGTAACAAGGAGGTGTCGTGATTTCAACCCAGTGCATCCTATTTTTTCGTCTTCAAGGTCTGCTTAAAAATTGAAATTGGATTCTGTTGAATGGTCTAATCTTACACATCCGAAATTTGCTATTTTCGGTGTCGCCACAGATGCCCTCAGTACACTTGTCGTCATCGTTCGAGGACTTCGCATAGTATCGTTGATCTCGTAGGGGCGCCAATCATTTACTCAATCATCACCAACTCTTACGTTCGCAATCGCATGACTTTTTACCACCACAGATGCGAAACTTTATCACACAACCCTGTCATTCCAGCTCCGACGGTTGTTTATGCACCAATCTTATTGACGGTGGTGGGGGTGTTTTCGTCCATTATTTATTTGCTGCAGTAGGGTGTTAATACCAGCGGATTGGTCTGGTCTTTACCAGGTGGTGGTAGCCGAAGTAACTTACACTTATATCTACTTGACAGGCGGTTTTAGAGACAGATAAATGAGAGCGGCCTTACTTACCCTTGCCTACCTCTGCCTATCAGAGGTCACCGGAATTAAGTTTGAACAGAATCCCAGACCGCCACAGTATGCAGACCCTGACCGATACGGGTAAATGGAAGCTACATCTCATTCTCTCTCTCCTGGAAACAGCTTCCAATATAAATTGTATATGCTTTTGTGGTTGTTCATGTCCATTATTACCCTCAGTCGTGAGTTCTTAGTCATTAAAATTTTGTTAGTGAGAACACCACTCAAATCACTAATCTTTGCGTTGTTTGACCCTCAGAACATTATTTATCCTTGGAAAACAGATGTCATAATAAAAGTTTCCTTCTTCCTTCATCTCATACTCCGAGCTCCTAACGAAGTCCTTACAGGTCATGGCACTTAAAATGAGATTCCCCGTCTAGCAATCAGATGGACAGAAATTTAATTGGCATACTTATCCTCATAGTTCCCTCACCTTTTGAGCAATGTCGATGACCCTCTGTCGTCACCCTTCTCCTTCGGATGTCACGATAAGAAAAAGAGAGTTGGAGAGATATGGACACTGGATACCTTGTTAAAGATGGCACGTGGTCACTGTGCTAATTCACTTTTCTTTTGGTCACGCTTGCCTCTCATAATCCTCTACGATAACAATTCTTTTATATTCTTTCTCATGTAATTGCTAAAATCTGCATTTCCTTAATAGCTATCGAATTTGTGCATCTTGGAAGTTGGCTGACGGGACTCCAATATACAGTGGATGTGATCCCTTTAAAATCAAACGCTGTGGAGAGGAATTGTGAGTCCATTTTGATATTTGAGTGTTCGAAAGTATTCTTCATAATCGAGCTATCAAGTGACTTTGCGTTTCATGCCACAGGGATTTTGACTACAGATGCTGCAGCGGTTTCGAACGCAGCAACGAGCCACTAGGAGGAGCCAGCTCCAATCCCTGTGGGAAACTTATTCCTCAGTTTGATGATTGTCCATCGGTGATCGAAGGGCTTGGTATGTTCCATGTAATTCTGCCTAACTTATAACCTACCCTCATGTATAACGAACATTCATGGGTCTGTTGCTCGAAAGTATCACATATTCGTCAACTCACGGTGTAAGTGGCCCATTTCGACAAGCTGTGAAGCGACTTGAGTTACTTCTATGAATGTTTACGTCATTTCATTTTAAAATAAGACCTTGCAAGGGACAATAAAGAGAGATTGCTCAAAGTGCGTGTCAATCATGTGCATGGTTAAAGTAATGCCTCAATACTAAATATCCGCGAGATGAAAGCGCACAACATTTAGTGGACTCTGCCATGGTTAAACAACAGGTCAAACTGCGATAATCTCTTGAGGCATTTGTCCGACACTTTTTAAGGGTAGAATGAAACGGATCACAAACCACTCGTCAGTCACTCTCAGTTTAAATGCCTGCTTGACTTTACACTCTTAACTACCTCATTACATTTTAGTCTTTGTCATACGTAGTAATTAAACAGTTTGGACAGGAAGCAGTGCTCCTTCCTTGATTTTTGGAGTTTCACAGGATTGCAAAGTTTACGAGCAAAGAAAGTGAAGCTTTGTGTGATATCGCCGAACATCATTAACTCCTTAAGTTTGTATGTTGTTTAGGCTTTAAAAAGTTTGCCTCCTACCTAAAAAATCGGCCCGAATTGACACGACAAAATGGTCAGCCATACACTATCTTTGTGCCGCTACCGGAAGATGGTAACGATTTGGATCGCATCTACGGGGGGTAGGTAGCGTTTATCATCTATAGATGCAAATTATGTTCAAAGATCGATAACCATTTGAACAGCAGTAATGCTACTTAAATAATTTTAGTAACAGCCAGGCCGTGAGCTACCATGTGGCAAAGGGTCGCCATTACGCAGACGACCTAAAAACGGGTGTCAAGCTCAAGTCGCTGTATAGGGATCAGGATATGGAGATCTCCCGCACAACTTATGGAGCAAGTTTCTCTCTATCTCTTACAACACTAGAAATGGGATAGTAGATTTATTTTCTTAATTGTTTTTAACTTCAGAGTATCAATGTGGAGTGCACAGAGATCAGTCAGGCAGACATTGAATGCAAATCTGGTCTTATACACATCATTCGCCGCGTAAGCTTTTATCGTTGATATCCCAGGGTAGTTGATTTAATGAGATTTTGACTATGCCTTCTGAAACTTTGCAGCCTCTGATACCACGATCAGGACTTGGCAATATTGACAAGACTTCTGTGATGAGTCTCCTGCAGTCCAATCCAGAGACACGTGAATTTGCTAGTGCCTTGCCACGGAAGTTGCAACAAGACTTGGGCAGAGTTGAAAGCGGTCGCTTCTACACCGTCGCCGCGCCTACTTCAAACTCCTGGTCCGAGCTTCGTGGAAGATACAACCGTGAACAACTAGAGGATGTAAGGCAGTGTCTCTCATTGATGAGTACAATTTCTTGATTTCAATGTGCGCATTGGAAGTCTGTTTCTCCATTGTCAGATTGCTGCCAGTCACGTGACCTCGGGATTGAAGTGTACTTCAAATATAATTAAGGCAGAGCAGATATTTACTGACATGCAAGGCCAGCAAATGAAAGTAGAATGCGGTATCAACCCAAGCAACCGGCAAGAAGTACGGAAAATCATTGATGCATGTGGCGATGCGCATGAGCTGATCGAAGATCTGTCGGATCAGATGGCGGCAAATGGTGTTGTTCACGTCATTGCTGATCCAGTGATTCCCGTGTCTCGTAAGTGCTCTATTTACTTATTTCTTCTCCCTTATCTTTAAATGAATGTTGATTAGTATTAGATGATTCAGCCAAGGTCAAGCAGGTCGACGGTACAGTGCTTTCCAGCATACATAGCGCTGCAGCAGACCTCAAAGTTGCAGGTGAATGCCCGTGGTAGCGAAGTTTGTTCAGTTTGATGGATCACCTGTTACTGTGGAAGCAGTGATCATTCTAGTCCCCCTTAAGTTGGACAACAATGGGTCTAATGCAGCCCTATACAGTTAATTTGAATGTGTTTTGATGGCATCTTCGATTTATTTGTTCTAATCCTCCTCATCAGCTTGACTTGCTGATGACTAACCACAGGGCAAATTGAAAAAACCGATGGGACCCATTGACAGTTCATTGGCCTCACGCATGTATTTTGTGCTCGAGGACACACAAGTCACTGGAGATAGGAAGAAATAGGCGGTACTTATGTATTACACAATCAGTAAATTAAATAGTAATTATTAACTTCTCTTGCAATTGTAGAGCTGACATTGAAAGACTTTATGGATCGTCCGGAATGTGCTAAGCATCAAAACATTGACAAGTTCATCGATGTGCTCCGTGAATGCGACCTCTACATGGATGATATGAGCCAATATGCAGTGATTGCACCAGAAAATGAAGCCTTTGATTGTATGTAGCCTTTGGGAACAACTAGGCAAGTGGGAAGAAGTGACAGTCTAATGTCTTCTCGTGTTGTAGGGTGGAGTGGATACCGGCAGTTCAGACCAGAGTACGAACGCTTTCAAGTGGATGAAGACTATCGTTGCGAGGTGGCTCGCTATCACATTGTAAAGCACAATGGAAACTTGGCAAACATTCCAGATTTTTCAGGACATACCGATGGTCATCGCTCGAATAATCGCAACAACTATCTCTACGAGACTACATACTTTACCAAGGGGAAAATGGGCTCGACGGTAAGTAAATGAAGAAATCAGCGCAAAGCCCATTAATTTATTTATTCTCTCATCCATCCATTCATTGATAATGTTTCATTTCTATAGCTCAACTGGCACTACTCACCCGTTAACAACCTTCAGCCCCTAAAATTAAAGAACACCTCTATTTATAAGACCTCGAGAATTAATGTCATGCCGGAGAAGAATATCACTGACATTCTTGAAGAACGAAAGGACTTCTCGTAAGCTATTTTCCTACTTATTAAGAGCCTTCATCATTATAAACCGTTCTTGATGCCTTTTTGTTATTAAACTTTATTTATGAATGGCACAATAAGTTTATTATCACGTTTTTTGTCGATACCCATTTTTCGTTTAGTTAAAAGCTTTTTACGAATCAGCTGACCAATTAATCAGTGAGCCATGACTCTCCATGCTCACTTTTTGCCAATCACTTATCCGCCGTGGGGATCTGATTACACATCCGAACCAATAGGACTTTAGCAAATGTTTGGCCTTGTTAAAAGGTAATAGAGATTGTCTTTGTCAAATTCCTCTTTTAACTCTTTTAGTCACACCAAAAACATCACAGACATGGCCAACATGGATGATAATGTGTTCAAAAAGAAAGCCCCAAAAAATCTCTACCTCGTCACTACTGATGACGGGTGGATTGATCCGCGCTCAAAGCAGCTGGGTAAAAGGCTGGCCAGCCCCGAGCTGGCTCGTTATGAAGGTCATCCGACTCTTGCTGAAAACGTAAGCATTTACAGCTATCAAAACCAGGATTCTGTTTTACTCACGCCTTTTTCTTTTGCAGTTTGCCAAGCTTAACCATGTGCCATTGTACCTATGGGGTGGGGACATAGGATACTTTGAGAAGAACTCAGTTCACCGATTTATGTCGTCGGCAGGCGTTGAACTCATCTTCTGGATGGATGACAAGGGAACTATGAGGATTGGATATGATGGGCTTCCACAAAGTGAATGGGTAGGTCTTATTGTTTTACAAGTCGCCTGATGACACAAATAAGCAGTTGAATTTATTTATTTACGATAGACATAAATCACTAGCACAACGTTGTTTCAAACTCGTTAGTTTATCTGCGTTTTTACAATATAACTGATCTAAGGAGTGTTTACACTCCTATTTCCTTCTTCTTTTAGCCTAAAGTGGTGGAATACAACCTTCCCGCAAGAGACGGAATAGTCTGGGCTCTGGATGGTTTTCTGCGCTGTCCAAACAGACTGTGTGCACTACAACTAGAAGATAAGGACACTTATACGTTCTACACAGCCGCCTGCCTCTCCTCTGACCTAGAGGGTGAACAGGATGTGAAGAGAGCCTTCTCTTCAAAACCGACAGAGATTGCTAGACGGCATCCAAACCAGTGTTTGGTTATCAGACAAGGTGAAGTCACCACAATTAAGGACATCTTTGAGGATGTGCCAATTTCGGGTCAGGAGCTCTAAAATTGTTGACCCATATTTGCCCCTGCTTCATCATTACCCCTTGATTTGATATCTTGTGCTTCTCAATACTGGCTTGTGCTTTGATGACCGAGGCTCATTATAATTGCCATTGACTAATAGGCATCATCTCTCTCAGTCTTAAGTCTTGTTTAAGAAAATGGTCGATCTCTCGGGTGAATACACAACGTATGTTGTCTGTTACCTCCACCAAAAGAGACATAAGAGATCACTTTAACACAATATCGTACTAAGACTACTTGTTTGTCATCGACTAGACTTTACATTGATAGATGGGAATTAAAGGTCCAAATCCGAGGTGGCAAGCACTTTGTTTGCGATTAATGGGTTGGATACTCCACTTGTCTCACCAAGATGCTTTTCTATACTTTGCAAGATGAATCCAGCACTTAGGTCTCGAGTGTCATTTCCAGTGTGATCTTTACCAAGCGGCTGCTTTGTCTTCAAACTAAGGAGGACTGCCTCGTAAATGACCAGCGTTCTCTAATGGACGAATTAGCGCATCTAACTGCGGCCAACCTCTCCCAAAGTGACACTAGCTGACACGCACATGCACACTATCCGGATGTTTATGTTTCGAGGCCAAAAAATATCTCTGTTCTTTAATTTATTCGTTTGCGACGGTTTTGCCTCCAGGTATGCTGTAAACATAAGTGAGATTCTACAAGACGCGCAATGTCTTATTTATATGGTACTGTGGGATTCGAATAAGCTGTCCTTTCAGTGTCACATAGTTCGGTGAGATAACCTTTTTGCAGAAAGAAGGAACGAAGAGGTAATTTCGGTCATTATACTGTTAAAAAATGCAAGTCTGCGTCGAGTCGCGTTGCAACGTCTCACCGTATGAACTCAAAATTATACTTCACTAGGGATGTGAATACTTTACTGTGCTCATCGTTACGCACTCCCCTCTCATTCTTTCCCTCCTCCTCCTAATCTGTTACGTTAATCTAATGACTTCATCTAACTCGCCACTGTTCTACCGAGTTCACAGGGGTCAAGGCAAAGCTGCATACTCTTAGCACATTCGCTGTGTGGCGCCCACAGAAGTCGTAAAGAGCGATTACGGATGAAGTTTGTGCAAACTGAATCAGTAGGTTGCAAGACTTATGTTTGAAAATATCTAAAACAACTCTCAAGAATTGAAAGAGTTCGTAATGTATGCAGTGTCTTGATCCTTTATTTCATGGAACGGAAGCCGTTCTCACTAAAAGACCCATCTACCATCGGATTCCCTCACATCGGCAAGTCTGTTCAATTGTAGCCCTTTACTTATACATAATCAGTGGCATGTATTTATTAAAAAAATTTAGAAAATTAAACCAAAAGTTAAGTTCTTAAAGGGCGTCACGAAACCCAGGCCACTTAGCAGTAAATCAAAGCAGAAAGTTCGTTGTTTGCGAAGTTGCTCTGTCGGAAGAAGAATGTATATGAAGACTTGTTGCTGTCTTACTTTTGCAATCTACTTAATAAATGTGGCAGTCAGTGTGTATTTTGCACACAATCATTCAAATAACCTTAAGATACAGGTAAGTTACACATGATTGTGTGCACTCTTTGTTACAACGTCCTAGGGGCTGTGCAGATTTGTGTATTCCGTTGTCGATGAGTGTGTAAAGGGTTGTTTAAGAGGGTGGGTGATACAGTCACGTCCTTTCCACTATTATGCCACCTTTTACGAAGTTGTTAATTCGCCATGTCTTTTGGGGAAAGGACTTTAATAGAGATTGTGTTGAAGAATGGACTGCGTGCCCACGTCTTAGGAGCGCCCCTATTTAGTTTGTTGTCAGGTTGAAATGAGGAAGTGAATGAGTAACTCCTCCTACCATTCTCACAATGTTCCTAACTGACACTGTCGCTTATTTATTGTACCACTGGCTAACCACAGAAGGCGCGTAGACTGACAATAGTTTTGTCATGACAATAAACTCGGTTTCTGTGAACTCGTCAGCTCTCAAGGCGGTGTACCACTTCTTTGGATGTTGGACTTTCTTAGCTTTCTTGATCTGTGGTGATTGCAAAACTCTGACATTGAAGGTCGCGGAGACATGCCCACACACAGTAATGTGCTCTTTCTTTTGAGCAGATGGATATAGAAAATACAACATTGTGAAATCGACAAAGTGGAAAAGGAAGAAAATGGAGATTTAGATATTTGTCAACTGAGTGCAGGATAATTCAAGGGACACAAAAAAATAGATATGGAGTGAATAGATTTGTTGGCTGAAAGATTAAAGACTGCTCAGTGTAGGGCGGCACAGTGAGGTACCGTAATGACTAAACAGACCTAAAACTGGTGGCTCAATTCTCCACTGATAAAATTAGGCTCTCAACTCGTCGCGCAACTTTTTTGATGGGTCGTCAAGCCTGTTAGACAGAGACATTGTAACCTAGCTTAGACCACCAATACAGGGACATGCACCACTTCAGAGCGGACGTAAACCTTCCCTCTCCATCCCGTTGATGTCCCAATTTCCTTGTCGCCTGCCAGATGGTCGGGCCTTACGTGATGTTAGGTGGCTATTTGGTGGCCGCACATTCGTTTTCACACTCATTCCCCATTCATCCATCGTCCTCCCTTTCCTTCCCCTCCTTTCCATCTCATTATGCGCCACAAAGCAACAACCCAAAACAATCCCATTGTGCTCAAAAAACCAATCTGGAAGGCAGTAGATGCAGTCTTTAACGCGTCAGAAATTCATTCTTCGCAGGTGGTACACACTAAAAGGAAAGCACTCTTTTAGCCATTTACACAATTGAGACTGAAGTTGTGATTTCCATCAATTTCAGCCAACTGTGAATGGACATTAGCAGTAAGAAATATACTAAACGAGAAAGGAAGAGAGAAACTTATAACAGGAGCTCTAAATTAAAGCGTTTTCTCCTTTTGATTACAATTTACGTAAAAGTGTACTCTGTAGCCCTTAAAAGTCATCTTATCTTTAAAACGGAGATAGTCAAGATCGGCGAATGGCAATAAGGGAATTTCGTAAAGGGACTTCGTGCCTCACCTCTTCCTCTCCTCTTTAAACAATATTTCATCCATACGATGGTCCTCTAAGTGAACAAAAATGAGAGAGAGGATCAAGAGATACTACTACTTCCTAATCTTTAATGAGCCGGCAGCATTGACGACTGGAAAGTAGTGAGGATCATTCCACCTCTTACTTACTCCAGAGCTACAACCTCCTCACTGTGCCAGGGAGGACAGACGTCGATAGGATGCACATCCACGTCTTCTCGGCTACTATGCGCGCCTTCATAAACTTGTTGTTGAAAGCTATTTTGGGAAGGACTGACGCTTAGGACTCATGGCTTAGTAATAGCAAAAACTCACTTGATAAGGCACTTTTCTAATGCAATGATTTGGAATCTCAGCACCTGAGACGCAGAAACCTCTTTAGTTATTTCTTTTGGACGACTGAAAGGTAGTTAAAGATAGATTTAATCAGCCTGAAAGTTAATTAAGTAAGAAAAGATTCTCTGTGTACTCAACTTCCTTTCCAATAAAGTAAGGGTTTCGTGCACATAATTGTGTCAAATGCTAAAATAGATTTCACATTGTATCGCAACATGATTAGCTACACCATTATCCTCCCATTCGTGCTATCGAACCGGAATTCTTCTGACTTTCTGCTCGTGTGCATGAGTACATTGCTGCCTCAGAGACCGATTCTGAGTCATCTCGCACAGCAGGATAAAAATATTTCGTAAACTCCACCTTCATCCCCTCCGGGGTTCGGAGCTCCAGAGACGAGGATTAATAGAGGGGGCAAGGTGTCATTCGTCCAGTGTGTACCACCCCACATGGGACTAACGAGCGTAGTGGTAGTGGTGGTGGTGAGAAAGGGCTATGAGTGGGAGAATGGGGAGCGGGGAAAAGGGGAAGGAAAAGAGAACATGCATTCTGTTACTGCCTTGCAGAACAATAGATGGTAAGGAAAAGAAGGGGAAGAGACAAGTCAAAAGGTGAATGGGCTTGTGTTAGGAGAAGACAACGGTTTCCCCCAGTATTGTTTGACTTTTTTGCTGGACCACTTTCAGCGATCTTTGAGAGGTGTCAGCTGGCTGCAGCGTGTAGGCTGCTTTTTGTAATGTCCCCAAGTGGGTGGCTGGACGTCGGAAAGATGGCAAAGTCTTCCCATGATGATTGATAGGCTTTGTTCAGGAGTGTCATTTGATGTCAGTCATGGCTCCTCTAGGTGAGGCCAGAGATGAAAAAGTGCTGTACCTAAATCCTCCCCACCGGTATCCTCATATTGGCTAAGTTTATGTGACCCAAAAGTAAACGTAAGAGAGACTTCAGTCGTCACTGTGTTTCCTTCTTAACTTCTGTTATACTTTTGTTGAGGCTTAGAGGTGACTTCGATCCCAGTCGTTTCTTGTTTGCCGCCCTTGACAATTTTGCTTGATCAGTGTCTTCCTCATTTTGAGATATAAGAGAGCTTCTTCGTGTTACTCATTTAGGATGAACAGTGCAAGTGGATAAAAAAGGTAGCCTTAAGAGTCATTATGAAAAATTGGAGGAGGTGAAGATAATGATTTGGAGATGGAGAGAGGGAGGGTTTGAGAGGGAACGAGAGGAATAATGCACGCTTCATTGCTCCTCCTGCCTGACCCCAAAGTGGGTCAGTGGAAGGGACATCTGCCGTATTGAACGTAGAAGTCTGAGTAGCCTAGTATCACACGCGTGCACACACAGATGCACACAATTTCCCTTCGACTGTTGAAAAGTCTTTCTGAATTGTATCCAACTGGTGGTAGACACCTTTAAGTTAAAAATACAAACTTTAAAATAGTTGAGCTTCAGAACGAATTGCAATGCTCAGAAATGATTGTACAGATCCACGAAAAGGGCAAGAAAGGGAACATTTAATGCTATTTATAAGGCTGAAGCAGATTACGCGAGCATTTGAAAGCTCAAAAGCAGAGTAAATGGACCCCAAAATTATACCTAAAGAATTATCAAATTGTTTGAGTTATATAGCATTTTGGCTTCTTGAGGTGGTTGGTTGTGCTTTATGCCAAAGGCGAGTTGTCCTAGCAAGACGTCAACTGTCCCACCACCGTAGTAGGTGGATTGAAGGTGTAAAGTAGGCATAATCTGGATTCCTTTGGCTTGCGGAGCTCTTCTTGGAGTCTCTTTTACAACTGTTTGCCATTGATGATTGTGCAAACCTCTTATGGTGTGCTTATCAAGTAAAATGCGATTAAAATAGGGTTCATGAGATGGGTTCTAATGTTTTGTTTTGTTTTGATATGCTACAGTAAGAGGTCGGGTGTTAGCACATTTTTATCTCATTTTTCACTACATTCTGGCCCTGACCAACGCACTCTCATCTTTGTATTGGGCAAGCCTTTAGCGTCAACCGACTAACATGATGCTATAAAACGTGAATAGGCAGCAGGTTGTCTGCCTCACAGGGCAATTTGAAGTGAATTATAAAGCTGAGGACGACAGTTAAGGCCAAAATTAGGTAAATGCAAAATGAAGAGGGAATCCTAAATGGCTGCTTGTGTTGCGTGAGTGTGTGCATGTACGTATTTATAAGGGGATCCGAAGATCTACTCACATCTCATCTGTCTGTAAGCACTTAAAGGAGGCTCTTTATCAGTTAAGCCAAAAATATCTTATTTTCTCAAAAATGGTTCATTCGTGGCATTAAAAACTCTACTGCTCCCAATACAGCTTAAAGAACCAGACAAAAGGTTCATACCTGATTTTGTACAAATTAGTCATTGGCATTATGTCATATGTTTATTCTCAAAATGACACGAAATCATTCATTCACCTTATAAGTAGCAAACCAAACTCAAACCAGATCAACTGCGACAGCACATACTGCTTTTGAATCAGGTAAAGAGAGCGTGGTGGTTTTTGAGGTTTGAGGGAGTCTTAACCAGCCTCATAAACCAAGGTTGCTTTGGAAACTGACATATTTATACGTTTGGAGTTGCACTGACTCAAAACAAAGCCTTTTCCTTGACGATGGGGAAAATTTGCAGATGTTAATGCGAGCAAATTGCAACCCACAGAGGCGTGACAATGCTGCAGCTGCTTCTATCAAACAAACTGGCGCGCAGTCCACCGTCTTCTCCCCATGCGCTAGCGCACACGCGCACACACACGGGAAGATATGGGCGCGGATGCGTGCGCGCACACGTGGAAAACAAAGTGAGTGTGTGGTGTAACGAATTTATGGGCGCATCTGGGGAGCATGAGTCGCGGACAGGACTGATGAGTACGGGGTGGGGATTGGTGGGCGGGTGTTAACAGGTAAAATTCTCACTGTAGCGAAATAATAAGTTCTGTTGCTGCTTCTGATGACTCTGTTGACGATACTTAAAAAGTTATGCTTCACCCCCTATATGATATGCACCAGTGAAATCGTATTGTCTACACATACCTGCTGACATGCATGGGCATGAGCTTCGATAGGTGTACCGTCAAGTGACAAGTAAAGGATCTTGAAGGGTTGGTTAAACAGAAGGATTCCTGTTTTTTGGTACATTAATGAATAATTTTTCCTAAAGTTATGAGCCGCGTGACGGAAAACAATAGTTTATCATCACTTGAAAGGGAAAATTGCCTTCGGCTGACAATAACTTTTGTACTTCTTTATCCTAATAGGCAAAAAATCACGTTATCAAATTATGTGAGTGAGGTGCATATTTTGATTTTTTGGGCACATTCGATATTGGTCTCTAACTCTCGTTCCCTACAATCAGATCCTTCAAATTCGGTAATACGGCGTGGAGAAAAAATTCCCACAGCCATGCAAGAATTCTTTTACATTGGTGTGCCACATTACATGGATTAGTGACAGGCCTAAGGTGCTCCAGTAAAGTCAAGAACACCGTAATCCTTTTATTTTACCTCAGCAAAAGTGAAGTTAACTACTAAAATTGCTCATTAGAGAAAAACTCAAGGAGATGGCGCCAGAGAAGTCACTGTGGCTTTTGGTGTTTTAAAAATGGGATCTATTTATTCAAGAATCGTTAAGATGCAAAAATGCTAGTTCAGCAAAACTAGTTAAATTACGTTCTCAACGAAACTACTGACAATGATTTTAGATTTCTTTTCTTATAACTAATTAGCACAATATCATTAAAATATAACAAGAAGATTCATTGCAATGAAACTGGTGGTTAACCACGTTTTAGTAATCTCCCACTGAAGGTTTCAAACAAGTCTTTAGTTTTTAGTAATCACATTCTATTCTCCGATTTAGCCAGTACCTCAAACATTTTTAAAATGTACTTTTTACTTGTTGAAAAATTCTCGTTTTAAGGCCAGAGATGTTTAAGAATGAAATAGCCTTCCATATCAGTAATCTGGTGCTGTGCCGCTTTTGTTGACTTCGAATTTTCGTCATCAAGTAAAACAACACGTTAAGATGTGTAGCACTTTGGGTCATTAAGTTGGAGCATAACACACTATTCCATGGCTTCATTTTATTTTTGAATTAGCATTTTTAAGCCCCTCGAATCGGGGCACAATGGCATTAGTGTGAGCAGACTCTGCAGCCATTCGCATAACTTTACGCATTATTAACTATAAAAAATAATGCTTGGGTTTTAATAAAGGCATTTGTAAAAACACGCATTGATTCAGGAATTGAGATTTTGACCGGCACCTAATTTTATTCGGTAATTTATGTGACTTATTTTAGTCGAAACGCAGGCAAAAAGGCAATTTAAGTTCAGTTGCCTTTTCGCTTTAAATGAAAATAGCATTAGTGGGGGAATTCGGCACTTTGTAAGATATACTACTTAAATATGTAATGTGTGAGTGGTAGGGATGAAAATTTCACACGATCGAAATAAAAGGAGGACGTAGAAATAGAGAAAGGCCAACTTCGGCACGTAACATTCTCCCAGAGTTGTGGGCAATTTCGACCCAAATCGACGCCATCCACACACACCCTCGATGGTGCGTCCACGCCTGTGACATTTGCGACAAAATCACGCACATCGGCAAGCAGGTGGGTAGGTAGCCATGCGGGCCTCACCACTCCTTCCAATTCTACCCCTCCGCACGCGCGTATGGGTATGTGCATGAGTGCATGCGTCTGAACATGGGCGATGGGAAAGCGATCGCAGTTGTGAAGTCCTCTACAAGTTCATGGCGTGGTGCCATTCAATCACTTTCCTACTTTTTAATACATTAAAATACCTTGTTAAGATCTTTAAGGCCAACCTATAAGAAACTATCAATTATTACTTTTAAGTCCATAAAATAAAAGCTTCTCGTATGGAATTTCTAGGCCTTGTGAGGCGACCAACTCTGTATTTAGAAGAAGAATGTTCGAACGCTATGCTAAGGCGTCAAAAGTTGTCCATGTTCCTTTGATATTGATGGCATTGTGACTTAAATTGGACCCGTAATAATGATGGCCAAAACAACAAATGCGAATGAAGAATGCTTTAGATACAGGCCTTTGGAAGTCGAAGTGATATCTAAATTAAAAATTGTTATCTTTAACTTCTTTCTCTGTTGTATAATTTAGCTTGAAACTTCTTTGGAGCATTTAAGTATAACTGAGTAATTATGAGTGGTTATATATATTTACTGTTCCACTCCCATTATTTTTGCTTCCATTTTAACCGTCACGGATCGGTGCAGATTGTGGTGGTTTTTACAACCCAAAAAGAGAAATACAAATCTCTATTCCACTTATTATTTTTTCCTACGGGTTTTGTTACAAAGAAGCAGTTGACTGTGAAGTAGATCCTCTAAAACCCGTAATTTCACCAATCATCTGGCTTCTGAACAGACTCTAGGCTAAACGAATACATTTTACATTCAGCCCCTGGGGTCTGATTGGGCCTCGAGACCCGCACCCTCCCATTGGATGGTGAAAGATGAGCGTGCGCAAAGACCAAATTCGGGGTAGGCTTACTGCATATACGCGCGCACTGAGCCGTGCGTCTATTGGTTCGCGATGTCGGATGTACGCGTTAAAGCTTGAAATGCGTACTACCAGTGACTTTGCCTTAGGGCACTGTAACAAAATTAACGCACTGTCAGCTAGGCTATCTCGTAACATTGTTTCTTTTGTAACGAAGGAGGAACAACAACGATTTTAATTCGTTCTTCATTCATTCATTCACTCATCCAATACTTTCCCGAACTCGCCCATTGTTTTGCGTTATTGTATCACCTCCAATAGCTTCCGAGCTACTGTGATTCATGGATCGGTAAGTAACAAATAATTGTTTACTTTCTTCTCCTCTACATTAAGTGTTTTCATTTGTGTGATACCCTTAGTATTATCTCGATGCGTAGGATTTATTAGTTAAGGAAAGATTTTAATTCCTGTCCAAAGGACCAATGAAATAATTAGAGGCACTCTACTCTGATTGGCTGCCCCGTACAAACGAATTTTAGCGATCTCTTTCGTCCATCTGTTCATATTGTGAGCCCAGAGACTAGGACTCATCTTCTCTCGCCCCTTTTCAGTCCACGAAGCAGGTCGTTAAAGGGGAGAGAGGGAAAGCGATGGGATGAACACTATACTGCTCAAATCTAGGATGCTAGGTGGATAGGTGAGAATCAGCTGAGAAGGCGCCGATAAATTATCTTTGCACCTCTCCCTTACTTACTCACACATTCATGGGACCTGTCCCGGTTTAGTGCCATCGTAACTTTACTACGCAAAATTTATGCTCCACTGGTTTCTCGCCCACAAAAAACTATCAATAGTTTTGTAGCCTAAAATCCTCCTTCCAAACACAGTTATATTACGGTCTGACTAAACATTATCCTATCTTTTAGGATATGCAATTAATAGAAATGAACGGTTAGTTAGTAATAAATTTTCCACATTTTGTAGGGCGGTGCTAGAGACCAATCCCACACCACGGGATTGGCTGAACCAGAGCCTCAAGGTCGAACCGGGTTTCACATCAACTGCAAGAAGAGTTGTTTGTGGCAGCAACAGCGGAAGCGCATCAGCTTACTTCTCTTCCACAACAACGTCGGCTGCACATTTTGAAGGTGGTGATGATGGTGGAGGGGTCGGTGATTACACAGGCTTCCCTTTACCGCGATTGGGAAACTCAATTCCTCATCAGCCCTTTCCCTGTCACCATCACGCATTTGGACCTCCACCTCCGCCATTACCGCCGCCACCTTCTTCTGTTGTGCCTGTGCCTACTACTCCTCTACCACCACCATCAGAGTGCAGTGGAACTTTAACAAGAACACATGCAATGCATTCTTTGTTTGAGAGCTACACCTTTGAGAGTGGAACCACAAGACAACACACTAGTGTACGAATGGACCATCACATACTACCTCCACCACCACCATTACCACCCCAACAGCAACAACAACAACCACCGTCAGCTTCTCATAATCATTCTAAGACCAATGGACGATGCCGCAAAGAATCAGGCTCGTCAACTGAAGATGGAGAGAAGACAACATCAGAGGTGGAGGGAGGCGGTGGAGGAGGAGGTGGTACAGGAGTAGTTTCACGAGCCTCCTACATGTGTCGCAAGTGCAAGGCTCATGGTCAAGCGGTGCCAGTTAAGAGGCACAAAAGAGCCTGTCCCTACCTCCAGTGCCGGTGCTTGAAGTGCAGACTGGTGGATCAGGGCAGAAAAGTGAGTTTTGTCATGGTCTTCAATCTGTCTACATCAGTCAACGATCTGTTCCAGTAGGATTAGCACTGTCACCACTAATATTTGAGTCGTAAAGCGGTGAAAAGGTTTGAGCTAGCAAATGTTGTTGACGAGAAATGGAGGCGAAATCGATGAGAATTATTGCTCAAATTTGAAGAAAGATCTTTACATCCATTTTTAAATGATTCTGCTAAGGTGTAATGAAAGGTCTCTTTTATCCAGCAAAAGTTCTGCCTTTGCTCCCTCCCTCCGCGCTAACAAATAGGTAAAGGTGATGGGTTGAGTTTAATTTTAGTCCATTAAATCTGTGTGGCGTGGTTTTAGAGAAGTTCCTTCTGTGATCGTATATGTCAAGTAGACCTGACTTCCCATGTCTGCCTTCGGCCAGTTTTGTCACTTTTCAGTCATTAACATTGGTTATCCTTGCATTAGGCTCACTCAACGCAATGCAAACAAGGCAGCAAGCTGGGCCTTCCTTTAGGTCAAAGCACTTCAATATTTACTACTACAATTACCTAAATGGTGTTTTGTACCGTAGAAAAGTTTTCTCTACCAAAATGCAAGCAATCGGAGCTAAAATACCTACAAATAGATAACTTGTTTCCTTCATTTACATAAAGGTTGTTGCTAGACAAATAGCCCTCTACCGAGATCAAAAAGGTCATTCAGGTGGCTCCGGTGGCTCCACCGGCACCACCCACTCTCGTGCAACTCGTGATGACTCCTCACGTCCTCGATTATCCAGTCTCCGTTCTAATCCCCTCATTCAATTGCCTCTGCCACGAGAGTTGCGGATAGATGGAGCTCGAATGCTTCCTTCTCTTATGGCTCCCGGTGTCAAGGTTAGCGGGCAGGCGCTGATTGGTGGGAGGACGGTAGCAGGTCCGCATTGTCGTCGATGCCGAAACCACAATGTTGCAGTGACATGGAAAGGCCACAAGAAGTCTTGCCCTTATAGAAACTGTCCCTGTGACCCCTGTCGACTGATTAATGTGAGGAAGGATACGGAGAAAACCCTACGAGATATGGTGAGCCGAATCATTTTTTACCTTGCTGATGTTAAGCCTAATTTAAACAAAAACGTTTTAAAATTTCCTCGTTTCAAATGCATTACAGCCAACTTGCAAAGGACTTCATTGCAATAGAGTTTTGTTCACTAATTTGTGTGGACTGAGCCACTCTCTTTGGCAATTCAACCATTGATGACATCCGATTGATTGTATTATCTGATGTCAGTTAGAAATTTTGCTTAAGAATGAGGGAATTAATCTTTTTAAAGCTTGCCCATCTATCCAGTTTAAGGAATCAGAATTTTAGCTCAGCATAAGGGAAGTGAATGCATTCTGGCGACGTAAAGCCACAAGGCTTTACTTTCGAAAGAGCAAACCATAGTGACCTCAGAAAGGGCAGAGAAATGAGATCTTAAATTTAAGTTTTAGTCCGTAAATAACACGAGCAAAGTTGATATTGTCTGATGTAAGAACTAATTATTGACCACTTAGAGGAACTCAAATATAACAAAACAGGGGTAAGGGAAGGATACGTTTACAGACTTTGGCTTGGTCCTCGACACCTTGATTGTTTCTTTGGAAAAGTTCTCTTCTTGCCACTATTACGTCCACCTTAGTGGGTATGTTTTAGGCTGACTTAGAAGAAGAATCTTTTTAGGGGGTATTGCTTTAGTAATGTTTCAGTGCTCTAAACTGGCTAATATCCTTGAAATGTGGATTTTGAGCAGTTGGTGGCTCATTTGGGAACAGTTAGTGGTGTTTTTTCCGCCCTCCTAATGTAAGACTGAAAGCCATGAATTCTCACTAAAGGTAGTTTGTTACAAATCACTCAAACGAATTAGTCAAAAGTGTCACCTGCTAATTCGAGTAGTTTTTAGGAGTCAACCTGATAGGACTGACACTTAATCACCTTAATCAGATGTCTCTGATTAACCAACACCCATACAACTTTTCTGCCATTATATTATATTCTAACTTCATCGAAGCTCCGGTCTCTACTTTTGTAAAGCGAAGATCTGCTGAAGATAGTATGAAGAAAATTTTGCCACTTAACAATTAAAAGGCTAATCAGCAAAGATTGAATGCATTCTGGTGGTAATCAACAACTAACCTAATAGGGTGGAGACCGGTGTAGTGGTAGCATCTCAGATGAGCACACAACAAACACGGGGACAATGTAACAACTTGTTCATTTCGTTAACTAGCTGGCTAGCTAGCTGGCTAACAAGCTAGCTCCACCCGTAATCCTTTCCAAAGCTGCAATGATTTAATGAGGTTAAGCAATACGCTACAACGTTACATTGCCGCGCTTCCAACAGGGCGGTAAAAGCGGCTGGAAGGAGGGAGGAAGAGAGAGAGGGGGACAGAGGTATAGCCAAGGGGTGGTGGACATTACTGGCTGGCACAATTATTGTTACATAACAATGAGCTAAACTTCATGCAAATTTTCACTCCACTTCTACAGGCTGGGATCGAGGAGAAGTCGGTACTACCGACGGCATTGCTGGCAGAAGAGTCGACAACCACTGCAACGGCTACAACAATGAGCAATTTCTTTCCTTATCTTATGCCAGTCAATAACGCCTCACAATCGGCGGAAATGCCAGAACCTTCATCGGTCACTGCAGAATCTGCCCTCTGGAATGAAACTGTCTTTCCACACCGTCCTACCAAAAGGGCACGCTCTCTACAGGACTTAAATGCTCATTTATCCGTCTCAGAAGCTCATGTTAATGGATCCACGGCAAATCAAGGTGGAGCAGTTGAACAGACTCGAATTGGGTCTCTAGAAGGTGCTAGAAATATAGAGGCGTCAGGGAATAGTAGCACCAGCAGTAATGGCACTGTTGCAGCTGCAAGTGTTGCTACTAACAATGCAAGTAGTACAGTTGAACAATATCATCGAAGTGCAAATTACGATGTTTATTATGAGGAAAAGACACCGCGGCCAGTTCTTCCCTTTTGGCAGAGTTTTAGTCACTTTGAAGAAAAGTCTACAATTCCAGGACAAGGTTACATAGGAGGTTATTATGGTCTTGAAAACGGCAGAGTTTTTCATGGCAACAGTCAAGGTCATCACATGTACAGCCCTGAAAGGGTGTCTGCAGTGGCAGCGGCTGCGGCAGCGGCTGCTGCAATGGTCGCTATGACACCTCCAATAAATGGGGCCTATCAACAACCATGTTATCCTCCTCAAGGCCGCCCAGGGGGCCTTTGTCATCCTCTGCCCTCTCAACATTCCGATCACCTGGGGTACACTCCTCCAGAGGATTTCAACTCTCCAAATACATATCAGAGTCGATTCTCAATTGAAAGGGGTCGTGGAGATGATTATTGCAGTGGGGGTGGGGGAGGTGGTGGCAGTGGAGCTGGAGGAGTCGGAGGAAATAATGGCGGCTGGGGTGCATACAGATACCCATACATGGTGAGAGGTCTTCCATTTCATCCTGGCGACCCAATAGAAGCAGACTTCACAATTCCGAGTGGTCAAAGGCATGCAAAAACTGGAGGCGCAATGACGTCCAAGGTCGTCGATGACTCGTTGTACACAAGACCTGTGGCTCACGTGTGGCGAAGTCAATTACATCATTTGAGTATCTCCCAATTAAGACCCGAAGACACGGAGGAGGTAAAGGCCTTCCAACAGATTGATTGCGAGAACAAAATGGAGTGTACAAACGACATCAAACAAGATGCTCATGAGAGTGGTGAGCCAAAAAGACTAGTACTTTACAAATCCATTTAGAAGCCAAAATCTGCTACTTGACCTTCAAATTTGTTACCATCTATATTTTTAGTAATGTCTACAACTAGTGGTTGCGAATCTGTGAAGCCCTAAGTTTTAGGTGGGTCTTCTGCCGATATTATTGTGCACCGCCATCCTAGAACTACTGGTTTCACACACTTGAACCCTGTGTGAGAAGAAGATAAATAACTTTAGGACATGAATTCAAGGAAATATAGTTTGCTTAATGGTTTTATAAATTTCATAAATTATCCACTTGAGTAATGTAAGATGGTTAGTGTGATCGCTTTTTATTAACTTAGTGCTGCATCGCTCATTACAAAAAGTCAAATTTTTACGGTGTGTAAGGCGGATTGCTCTTAGAATTGCCCTATTGCCGTTTTACTTGCCTTCGGCCGAATTTACAGAGCCCCCTGTCCAATCAGCCAATCAGGCGATAGCAATTAGGAACGCCATGGACGCAAGTCAACGAGCAGGCGTCTTTCGGGAAGAAATTTCCACCTCAAGCAGTAATCAACCCCCTCCACCGTCAACCCAACAGCAGCTGCAGGAGCAGCAGCAACAGCAACAGCGTCAGCAAGCAGAGGTCATTTTTGAAGCAAATCCGGGTTCCACAACTGAACGAAGAGGACCATATCCTGCGTTTGAATCGACAACCAATGTCTCCCCTTTTACGATCGATGAGACACATTCACAACCATTCCCTGCTGTAGGCGCAGAGACATGACCATTGTCCAACCCCTTCTCCCCTTGCCGTCACACTGGCCAATCAAATTTCAGCGTTGGTAGTTTGGCGCTCAGGCGCTCGAACAATCGTGCTCTGACTGCTTCACAGCTCCAATTTGTTGTACAGACTGTACCGATACATATTATCTCTCTTTGTGTGTCTGATGTATAGATGATATGTATGAAGGTTATTTTAACCTACAAATTGCAAAAGACAATCTACTTAGAGGCGCCGACTTCACCTGTTTTGTGATTGGCTATTTAATAGGCTGACTTGCCTAGGCAACATAGGGAAAAAATTAACGTTGCTTAAAGGATGTTTAATTTCTTAAGCAGTGATCTTTTGCATGCGCTAAGGTGATTGACACAGTTCTTTTAATGAGTCTAACAATCTCATTTTGTGTCTGCTAATTTGATGATTAGAGAACGCGCTTACATAGGGTGTTTTAACATTTGAAACGGATGTTGTAAATATGTTCACCATTAGATACAGCTAATTACCTTGTGCGCTTGAGCTAAATAGAGAATGAGGAGCTCCACTGTGGGACTTTTTAGAGGTCTTTGGCCATTTGTCAGTGCGATGACAACGCATCAGATGGTTATGCTTTCTTTTCTGGTTGACAAATTCATTAAATAGTGCTTTCGAGACTTAATGGTACTTAAACGTGAGCTGAGTCTTCAGCACATCGCCGACGCACAATTTGCCATCAGCAGAGCCTATTTGAAAAATTGCGAACTTAATGTCAAGGAGTCATTTAAATTTTTGCCGATTTATTACATATTAAGATCTAAATTAATTTTTCAGACTGTCTAATGTCATATAGACTATCTCTTGGGATCCTTTGGGGACGGTCATGGAGCTATGAGAGATAGATGAATGGGGAGACGCGAGAAGTGGCGAGATGGGTTGAGTTGATTTTCCTTCCCCTAGTCCTAACATCTGACTTCTGAAATGGCTATTGTCTATTGGCCTCCGCTGAAGAGAATGTGGGATGTAGGTGCAACAGAATGAAGTTTGGTCTAAGGACCCCAATCATGGGCACCACGGAGTCTCCTGCCACCAATCCGTGCGCCCATTAATCTTTTTCTTTTGGCAGTCATAAGTAAGCTGGTCCACTTATATACGATTGGAGTCTAAAAAGCCCAAAATAAGCCTCTTCCGATACACATTTTATGACTAGTCACTGGAAAAATCGACATTAATCAGCCATTCAAAAAAGCATTGGGCAATGCTTGGTGTCAAAAAGGATCACCTGCATGGATTACAAGTCCCTTTGCCATTCTGTTCCCCATATCTTAGCAACTGACTTTTGCGATCGTGAAGGCCATCGAAATGCAAAAACACACACAAGTGAATCGGAGTTTACTTAAGTTCATTTGACTTTCAAGTCGAAAAAAACCTGAGGAGGAGGAGGAGTACAGGAAATGCTATCCTTTTTATGGTTCCATTCGTATTTCTCATTTTTGCTAACTTTAAGGTTCGCAAAGAAGGATGCGTTCATGGGTCTGAGATCTCTTAGTACTCATCTGACCACGGCGTAAATGGCCTTATCTTTGGGGCTACATTAGTGGGGAAAAAATTCAACTCGAGGTTGTGTTTACATAATATCAGCAGTGTACATTTAATCTTTTTTTTAAGATGAGATGTCACTGCTCTCCTTTGGAGTGTGTGTGTTTTAAAGCTAAAGGATTTGTTAAGAAAGGCCATTTAGCCTACACAAAAAGTAGACAGCCTTTCAGAGGTTACAAAATGCGGAGAGGAAATTTGTTGCACTTCAACTTGACATGGGGTGCACAAATTTTGAATTTTGAAATGCTCTAAGCGGTATACAACACTCCTTTTGAAATGCTTCTGTGTTTGGCAAGATCAAATTGCATGTATCAGTGACGCAAAGAGAAGACCTCTGTTTGAAGTTCTAAGATATCCTAGCAAGCAAAACATAATTATTAGCAAAACAATCTTAAGTGAGTTCAATTGGTACAATGTAAGAAGATAGAAGGAATGTCTTGGGCTTGTTTTTAACATCTTTGGCGGTCGAATTGATGTTGCTTCCCATGCAGACGCAAACTAACACTGATTATTTGGCTTTGCTTCCAGCCACGAAGATGGCAGCACAAGAATGTACCAGGCTCAGTTGTGTTTCCATCTTGATGAAAAATTTTCTTCAGGATGATACATTGTTTAAAGGAGAGTCTGCCATGTCTCCAAAGCAGTTAACACAGAATGTCGGAGCTTTGCAAATATAGCCTCCCTCGCATCAGATCATCCGACTCAGCAGTTCCTTTGGTACAAGGCACGTGTTTCACCTGCCACGAGCCAAGATGTGCAACGCTAAGTTAAACTGTGTACACCACCTTACTATTTGTGCTTGGGACTGTGTTGTGGGTTCGAGTTAAGAAGCCTAAGGCCGTATCGAAACAAAAAGTTTACTTATCAAGTTAAAAGTAGCAAATAATTTTTTCGCCAACAAATTGTGATGGGATTGTCTAGGTTTTTATGGGCTTGATTCAAAGGACTAAGCATGGTTCACAGCAAAAACATTTGACTAAGATGCTGTGCCATATTTGGCATTTGGTTGGTGAACACTATGGCGTTAACTGAGGGCGGGTGTGCGATCACTCTCCTCTTGCACCCGATTGTGAGGCGGGTGTGGTGGAAAATTTAGGTGAGTACAATTAGTGACCCTTAAAAGAAGTCTCATAAATGTGTGTTTGTCAGCGTGCTACTTCATTACTATACACAAAAGACAAGATCCAATCGGATTCCTAATGACACTATGTGACAGCTCTCATCTCACCAGTGACATATAGAAATTTGAGGTGATTTGTGATTACTGACCATTGTTTACTATGCATGCGCCATGAGTCATGATTAGCATAAGTTTGCCATTGACCAAGAGCACGCTCTCCTGTCTGCAGATTAAAGTGGCCCCATGTGGTGGAAACAAATGAATTTGACGGAGCATTTCGAATTTGCCTATTGCCTGAATGTAAACGCCGAAGATGCTGAAGCATCTCATTGGATTTAGGAAGGTGACACGGTCTAAGCCATCCATCGAATGTATTTATATTAGTATTTAGTTAGTAAAGTAGCACAGGTATGCGTGCAAGCTTCACATGTCAAATACCGACAGATGATAACAAGATACGTAATTTATTTTCATAATGCCATTTTATTTGTTCGCCTCCTACGATTTGGACACTAACGCTGCTCTGGATTAGCGCTCCACCAACCTTAGTCACTGCCTAAAATGAAGGCGAGAGGAGGTGGACCGAATTTACACTGCTAATCAAGTTAGAGCCCGTCTGCGCTTACGCAAATACCAGCATGACTGTCTTCAAATGTTCGAATTGGCTTTTTCTGTCTGTTTTTAGCCTTTTTATTGTTGGTTCTTTTTTTAAAACGGTCGTGATGGTTTCAAAATAATGGGTAATTTAAGCTAATGCCTCACTGGCCATGGGAACGAGGAGGATGAGGAAACAGAGGTCACAGCTGCTGCAGTTTTTTTAGGCCAAACCTGATCATTCACACAGGCATTTCTTCGACTGCAGATCTCCACACATAAAGCCGTCTACAAAACGTCTCTAGTTTAGCAGTGTAGGACTTAGTGGTTAATCCGACGCAGGACGATGTATTTGAGCGTTAGTACCAGTTTTTTCGTCTTCGACAACTATTCTTCCACGCAAACCCAGAATTAGGTTTAAAAGATGTGGAAGGCGGCTAATCATCAACTCTCATGCATCAATGTTTGCATGAACATTGGAAGAGCAAAAATTCCGTGGTATCAAACAAATATCAAGAGGGAGCTGTCATTCTGAAGTACTGCTTCGTGCTTTAGTCGGCAGTTGATCCGGAAACTACTGACTCTAAACGAATCAACACTTTATTAATTTATATTCTATTTGATGTGGTGGGTGGGAAGAAAGCTTCCTACAATTGTTGTGAGGTCCTGTGCCTCTCACTCTTAGGTCTTCAACAATGGTTTCTCAGCTTAATTTTATAGAAGTCGGAAATGGGCAAGAATGCTTTCCATGTGTGAGGGCACCTTCAAGTTTGCCCATTTACAAATTAAATGTCTCTTTCAAACTATCACCGAATAATGCGCAAGATGATCCCCTTTAGGAACCACATAATACAGCCAACTGTAGATGGGCTAAGACATTCAATGCTTGACAATTTTTGATGTAAAAAAATGCTGGACAATGGTTGATGCTACTTAATTTGTTAGAGCAGACGAAATTGCATCGTTTCTTGAACTTATCACGTTATGAATGAATGTGACTTCCTGCCGGTTGATAAGAGAGGAATTGAAATAGAGAAAATAGACTTTAAATTTGACTGATACAAACTTGTATACAGCTACCTGTAGAGCAAAAAAAATAATTTCTTCTACTTCATCGCTTCTTTAACGCCCCATTAAAACCATTTTGACAACTAATTGGCACCGAAATACTGCCTTACAAACAAATCTATTACTACTACAGTGAGGCCATTAACTAGACGCACCAGTGGCCTGTCTTCCCACATCCACAGACATGAAAAAAATAAGTCCACCAGATTTTAATAACTTAAGCTGAAATGTAAACCTCATAACGATTTAATAAATAATTCAGCCCAAAAGGGTAAGCGAATGGCTAAAATGTTTTCACTTCTTTGGTGCTCCCCGCTACTCCTTCAATGGCTTGGCATTATGCGAGTTTAGGGAAGGCTTAAGACGTAAGGCATCAACCTCCACAAAGAAAGAAAATGAATTTGGACAAAGTGAGCGTCTTTAATCTTCTCTGACAGTTGTGACAGAAAAGAAAAATTTTGGACAAGGTATTATCATGGCCCAATAACTGCATGGCAGGAGAGAAGGCATGAATCGCATGACATGCTTGTCTGGATGTGATTTATCAAGAAAGTATTACGGCATCACGTGCGCCTCGGAATAACATCTGTCCTAGTGCCTTCCATAGTCAAAGTATTGTGTGCGCTAAGCATAGAGTTGTTGTTGAAAG